CAATGTTGGTGACTGTGCTCTCTTTAAACCGCCACAGGATTGTCCACCGTTCATTGGTTTGATTCGTTTGGTTATTCCTGAAAAAGAAGGCAAGTTAAAGCTGCGTGTGAATTGGCTGTATCGACCTGCAGAGTTAAAACTTGGCAAAGGCATCCTTTTGGAGGCTCAGCCGAACGAAATCTTTTATTCCTTTCACGAGGATGAGATACCGGCTGCATCCTTACTGCATCCGTGTAAAGTTACCTTTCTTCCTAGAGGCGTTGAACTGCCATCTGGAATCTCTTCTTTCGTGTGTTGGCGAGTTTATGATGTTATGAACGAGTCTATTTGGTGGCTGACTGATCAAGACTATACCGATGTGAGTTTATTATCATTACGAATGATCACGTGTTGTTTAAATCTGTTTCTTACTTTGGTAGCTGATTCTTTTTTGTTTTCTCTTCTGTAGGAACGACAACAAGAAGTAGATAAGTTATTGTGTAAGACTCGTTCCGAGATGCATACCACATTACAGCAGGGTGGTCGTTCTCCTAGGTCAATGAATAGTCCAACAACATCACAAGTGAAAGCCGGAACAGACGGCATGCAGAACAACAGCTCTTTTTCTTCACAGGGTAAGGGAAGGAAGAGAGAGCATGCTGATCAGGGTTCCGAATCTGTGAAACGGGAACGTCCAAGTCGGATAGATGAAAGTGGTTCTGGTTTCCTAAGAACAGAAAGCAGCTTAAAATCTGAGATCGCAAAAATTACGGAAAAAGGCAGGCTAGTGGATTCTGAAGGGGTTGAGAGATTGGTACAGCTCATGCTGCCTGAGAGAAATGAGAAGAAAATAGACTTGATTGGCCGATCAATTCTTGCAAGTGTTGTAGCAGCAACAGACAAGTTTGATTGCCTCAGTCGTTTTGTCCAGCTCAGGGGATTACCTGTTTTTGATGAGTGGCTACAGGAAATTCATAAAGGGAAAGTTGGGGATGCGAGCAGTCCCAAAGACAATGATAGATCAGTGGACGATTTTCTCTTGATCTTACTTCGAGCTCTTGACAAGCTGCCTGTGAATCTCAACGCTCTTCAGACTTGTAACATTGGAAAGTCTGTTAATCATTTGCGATCACATAAGAACTCAGAAATCGGGAAAAAGGCAAGGAGCTTGGTTGATACATGGAAGAAACGTGTTGAGGCAGAAATGGATGCAAAGTCTGTATCCAATCAGGGTGCATCTTGGCCTGGAAGACCTCGTCAGTCTGAAGTTTCTCAAGGTGGTAGACATTCAGGTGTATCCACTGATGTAACCAAGACTTCAGTATCACATCTACATCCTTCTAAGTCTGTGTCCGTCAAAATACCGTCAGAGAACAGCATAAAGTCTGCAACCACATCTCCAAGTTCTACTAGATCAGCCCCATCACTTGGAACAGGCGTTGCTGTTGTTAGTGATGGGCAGCAAAGAAATACTGGTGCACTCCACAGAGAAGTTGGGCTGAGCAGGAGCTTCTCATCACAAAGAACTGCAGCTTCTGAGAAAGTATCTCAATCTACTATGACACCTGAAAAGGCTCTTGACGTACCTATGGCTGAAGGTTGCAGTAATAAGTTGATCGTAAAGCTGCCAAAACGTGGTCGCAGTCCGGCACAGAGTGTTAGTGGAGGTTCCTTTGAGGACCCTGCAGCAGGTAATAGCAGAGCTCCATCACCTGTTCCTTCGGAGAAATATGATCAGTTAGACCGGAACGTGAAAGAAATGAATGATACATCTCGAGCTAATAATTTTAGCCCTGATGCTAACACTGAGTCTTCGCAAAACAATAATCTAAAAAATCTATCGACAGTTTCAGATGAGGTAGCTGGTTCCCCTTCTGTTAATGCTGGGGATGAGCACGGCAAGGCTGGTAATGATTCTAGTAAAGTAGCAGAAATTGTCAAACCCACTTCTCCTACGTTAGGAGATGAAGTCAAAACTGAAAAAAGGCATGGTGGATCGCACAGCTCAATGAATGCCTTGATAGAAAGTTGTGTAAGGGACTCTGAGGCAAATGCATGTATGGCTGGTGCGGATGATGTTGGAATGAATCTTCTAGCTACTGTAGCTGCGGATGAAATGTCCAAATCCCCTGTTGCATCACCCTCTGTATCCCGGGTTTCAGATTCCTTGATGAATGATAATTCCATGTCAGAGAACCATACAACACAAATCACAAATTCTTTGGATGGCTTGCCTAGCGAGCAAGCTGATGCTGTTGCCAAGGATCCCTCCATTGTTGACAATGAGCAACATATCAGTAGTAGTGGTGAGCAATTGGCGGCTTTAGAGAATGTGCATGATTCTAAGCTGGGAGATATTGATGAGAACTCCGATTCAGAAATAGAAGAATTGCAAAGGTTGGTGGATCAGTGCCTAGAGAGTAATGAAAATTCAGATGATGTTGCTCCAACTGCTGTGCCCACATCAGGCATTGAGGAAAATATGTCTGATGATAGTGATAGTGGGGTAGGTAGTGACCTAAAGACTGATGTTACTTCAGAGACAGATCAAGTGGGAGATACAATAAAAAGGTCAGGAAACTCTGTCTTGAGCGAATGTAAAGCCACTGGCATAAGTCAAAATGCAGATTCTTTGACTGCTGAACATTCACACTTGGATGTTGTTGGTGATGGTAAGAATGAAGAGAAACCAGTGAGGTCTGACCTAGTGAATGATATGCGTGCAGCGGTATCAGCATTGTCAGAGGTTGTCAACGGTATGAAAACTTTATTTGTTGATAGATCGGTGACTGGAAAAATGTCTGATGCTAATGATTGTGGAATACTTAACGATCGAAACGCTGACGTTACATCTGTGTCAGATCCGGTTTCAGATACAGTTGAGAGGGTGGAAACCTCTGTGCCAGCTGAATGCAAAGGCATCGATTTAGGTCTTAAAGCAGATTCTCTGGCTGTTGCCAATTCGCCCTCAGATGTCGTAGGTGAGAACAAGAAAGAGCAGAAACCCCAGGTAGTCTTGAGTTCTGAGTTAGTTAAAAAAATGGGTGAAGATATACCAGTTTCTACTGGGTTCTCCAAGGGCATGGCTGCGTATGTGGATGTATTTGTAACAGAAAAAATCAATGATAGTGAGAGTAATCATATAAACCAAACAGATAATAAGAAGAACAAGCGTGTGACAGCTCATCTAGACTCATCTGCAGCTAACGGTGAAGTTGAATATGTAGAGGCGTCTCTAAAGAGTATTGAGGCTGATAAACCGTGCGCCACTGCGTTAGGTTCTCAAGAAGTATTACCTGCAGAAGATTGTAGGAGACCTAATGGGTTTAGAGTGAGTGGTGCTGATGGAGATGAAGCTGAGGAATGTACATCTGTTGCCAGAGATGTTCCTTCAGTTCCAGCTTCAGGAGGGTCAGAGATGGATGCCAGAGTTGAATTTGACTTAAATGAAGGTTTTAACGGGGAGGATGCACGAAACGGGAATTCAAATAACTTCTCTGGATCTTTGTCTTTGACACCTTCTCACTTACAATCCAGTCGAATTCCTGCATCCATTACTGTTGCTGCTGCTGCAAAGGGTGCATTTGTTCCACGTGACGATTTGTTGAGAAATAAAGCAACTGTTGGCTGGAGAGGATCTGCGGCCACTAGCGCCTTCCGGCCAGCTGAGCCAAGAAAAGTCCAGGAGGTGGTGCCACGAAGCATGAATACCGTGTCTTCCTCTGATGCTTCTACAAGCGCTGGCAAGCAGACGAAGACGTTCTTGGACTTTGACCTAAATGTACCCGATGAGAGAGGTCTTGAAGATCTGGCTTCCCAAAGATCTACCAATCCCACAAATTCCTCTGGTGGACTGGATCTTGATCTAAACAGACTTGATGATCCAACTGATATGAGTAATCATACAATAAGCAGTGGTCATCGGGGAGACTCATCTTTTCAGCAGGCAAACCTATCTTCTGGTGGTCGTAGAGATTTTGATTTAAATGATGGGCCCGCTGTTGATGATGCGAATGTTGAGTCATCTATGGTGTTTAGCCAACATTCCCGAAGTGGCTTGACTTCACAGCCAATGATCTCTGGAATAAGAATGAATGCTGAGAATATGGCGGCTGGCTTTTCATCTTGGTTTCCTGCTGCTAACAATTATTCGGCAATGAGTATTCCTCAAGTCTTGCCTGAACGAGGTGATCAGCCCTTTCCGGTTATTACCAGCAATGGACCGCAAAGAATGGTGGGTCCATCATCAGGAGTTTCCTCATTTACACCTGATATGTACAGAGGCCCAGTTTTACTGTCTTCTCCAGCAGTTTCATTCCCGCCCACAGCATTTCAGTATCCCGGATTTCCTTTTGGAACCAGCTTTCCTCTTTCCTCAGCAAATTTTTCAGGTGCTTCGGCACCATACATGGACTCCTCATCAAGTGGCAGGCTTTGCTTCCCTCCTGGCAACTCTCAAATATTAGGTCCAGGAGTTGCCATCCCTTCTAATTATCCAAGGCCTTACGTCGTTAACCTCCCAAATGGTAGTAGCAATGGTGGAGTTTCGGACAACAACAATGCAAAATGGTTTAGATCTGGTCTTGATTTAAACTCCGGACCAGGAGGGCATGAAACTGATGGCAGAGATGAAGCAACACTTGTACAAAGACAAATATCTTCCTCTAGTTCTATACCGTTGAAAGATGATCAAGCAAGAATGTATCAAATGTCAGGTGGTGCTCTCAAGAGGAAGGAACCAGACGGTGGATGGGATGGATATAAGCAATCCTCATGGCAATAACTAACCTCAGAATCTCTTTGTAGGCCGCCGCACTAAGCCTGTAAGCATCTTGAAGCATATTTCATTACAGAAACTAAACTCTCTTTTAAGGAAAAAAAGTAAATGGTGCTGGTCTGAAATTATTATTGGTATGAGATAGAGAGATAAAATCTGCCATTGTATTATATAGTCAGTAATGTGCTGTAGATGATTCTACTTGCGGTAGTTATGGTTGAACAAGTGATCCATGTTTTCGTTCTTTTATTCTCTGTTACAACAAAATGGATAAATATATTGCAATAACATGTTTGAAACAATTAAACATAGTTGAGTTAATAAAAAGCTCTCTATCACGCTCTCTCTCTCTCTGTCTCTTCAAGGTAAACTATTGATTGATTAGAGGCTACTAATCTCTTCCATGATTCCATCTATATATGTAATTCTCTCATTTATCAAACAAACGCAAAAGTGGAATATAAAATCATCAGACAATGTCGAGGCCATCATCAATGCCGAGTTACTATCCTCCCACAGAGAACATTTCTGCCAAAAAAAAGAAAGAAAAAAGAAAGAAGTTAATATCAGTATCCTTGATAGGAATCTAGAAGCAGAGTTTGAGAAGATTTATATAAATACATATACTCACGATAAACACCCGTGATTCGACTTCTGTTTCTTCTTTTTCTTGGCCTTCTCCTTTTGTTTAACCAGCGGTTTGATTACTTCCTTGATCGCTGAATCAAAAACTGCTTTCACATTCTGCAAAATGTAAACTTTCAACGCTTTGTCAATCCGAAGAGAAGAGTTGTCTAATTTTATGTAAGGATGTTTCAGTGTAAAGGTATATTATACCTGTTGAGTTTTTGAGCTACATTCAATGTAATATGTCGCGCCAATTAGCTTACGCAATTCCTCCCCCTGTCACATCGAAATGTTTATTCATATGAAATCTAGAGTCTTAGTCTATGGCATCAAAATGGCTCCTGAAATCAAACCTGTGCAGTAGTTACAGGGGATAGTCCAGGATGGTCAGCCAAATAATGCTTATCTTCACGGAGATCTACATCAATGTTATAAGAATCATAACTATGTAGTAGAATATATGAATGGTTAAGAGGAATCTGTTGCTAAATGCTCATCGGTTACTCACCTAATTTGGTACCGACAAGGACTAGGGGAACTCCTGGAGCAAAGTGTTGGAGTTCAGGGATCCACTGAACTCAACAAGAAGAGTCATATAACATTAGAAATAACTCGATACTGACAATTTGGATTTCTTATCGTCTTCAACATAAGAGAAAATGATGAATCACTTTTCCAATCAAACCTTTTTAAAAACATTCTCGTAGCTAGCTCGGCTGACCAAGGAGAAAGACAAGACGAAAACATCTGCTCCTCTGTAACTTAAAGGCCTTAATCTGTTATAGTCTTCTTGCCCTACAAACAAAACAAACCCAGCCAAAGAAAAAAAGAAGGTAAGCTCAAAGAGCAAAAGCCACCTGAACAATCTTCAAACATAAAACAGATTTGTCTATTATGCAACAATCTCAAATAAGCTAAATTAAACAACTTGACATATGTATATGAGTGTTCATACCAGCAGTGTCCCATAGACCTAAATTCACAGTGGTGCCTTCAACTACAACATTTGCACTAAAGTTGTCAAAAACTGTTGGTATGTAGTCCTGTTACAAAACCATCAAATCAATCCATAGATTGAATAGATCAAATCAGCGAGATATAACGTATGTAAGCGTATATATATTATCATAAGATTATCAAATAAAGAAAATCTGAAGATTCCAGGATATTTTTGGAGAAAGAGATAACACAAAGCTGGACTACACACAAAAAAAGCTGCAAAAATCCAGATGCGCCACACATACATAATAAAACCTGAGAAAAGGGAAGTAAATTTAAAAAAAAAAAAAAAATTCTCCGAGAATGGATCTTGTCTCATGCACAATCCCTAGAAAAAGGAGCTACCTTTGAATTACCCAGATAGATTCTAAGAACCTTTAAGACAAGGACAACTAAAATTCGAAAGGCCCAGTTAGATTTTCAGCAAATTGGAGATACTTGAACTGAGAAAAAATTGGAAATTTCAAGCTAAATCTGAGAAACACAGATGGGAATCCTGATCAAAATTTCAGAAAGGGAGAGAGAAGTTATTAGCTCACAGTAGGGAATTTGTTGCTGGTGTAGCAGATAAGCATACAAGTTTTACCAACAGCACCATCACCAACAGTCACACATTTGATAAACTTTGAAGCACTTGAAGCCATTAATCTCAACACACATACAAAGCTTAACAAAGAGCAAACAATAAGAGAAGACGAAAATAAAAGAGAAAGAGAGAGAGAGAGAGAGAGAGAGAGAGAGAGAGAGAGAGAGAGAGAAGTGATTACTTTGAGAGAGGAGTAAAAAAAATAAACGCACAGTAGAACATAGAAGGCAGGGTTTGTTGCACAAATTTATGGCTTTTTTTTCATTTTCCCACTTTTTTTCTTTTCTTTTGTTTACACTTTTCAATATTTCCAAAAAAAATATATAATTTGTTAATTGGTGTTTGTTGGCTTGTTTTTTGGTTTTGAAGATAGAAGGAGCGGTGGTGACTCACATGATCCATCTTCCCCGCTTTTCCTTTTCCAAATTCTTACTTCATTTATTACCCCCTACCGAGCAAATTTGTATTGGAATTTGCTAAACGGTTTTTACTTCATTTAGTACTTGTGAGAGATTTAGATTTAAAACTTTATTTTGTAACATTTGAACAAATTTTTAAAAATAATCGGATTCAGTGTTTTATCACAGTTTTACTGGAATAAAAGAAAACTGAATTAATCTGTATTTTTAGTGAATAAATATAATTTCTTTATTTGGGTTCGATTAAATTAAATTGAATTCGACACTCAAGAAACCAAAAATATTAGTTGATTAGGGAAAAATCAATAATACTCTTAGATGTACTACATGTTTCGAATTCGAATCCATATTTGTCTTTTGTTTTGGGTCTACATTAAATAAATATATACTATTAATACTGATTTCGAGTGACTGAGTGATAACTACGTACAATACATTTACTGTGCCACAGTATTAAACATCAACTATAGAAATCCAAATGTATAACGAAATTAACTATTCGGCAAGTTAATAATAGTCACGTTCAGCAACAGTGACAAGTGAAGATGGGTGATATCACATATGTATACATTAACATGTACTGTCGAATACATGTTTTTGCTATTTTTGGTTTTTCTCTACTTATAAAATAATATTGAGCATGACTTACTACGGCTACGCAGAAATATAATACGATATAAACTAAATTAGAAGAACAAATCGATAGAAAAACCACTGAAACCAACATTTCAACAAACACACACATATATATATATAGTTTTGTCAACAACAAATATTTAATAAGTAAGATATAGAGTAAGAAAACATAGAAAACAAATACAAATAGTGTTTCTAAACTTATAATTTATATTAGGATATTCATGATTTATTGTACTTGAATAAAATGGCCTCTTAGGTGGACCTACATTTCAAAAACTTATCATCGAAATTACTCAATCATGTAAAATCGGCCAACAAGAGTTTCGTTGGCAACAACCAACAATAAAAATTCCCAATATTCACAAAGGATCATAGCAACTTTTATATATTAAAATCGAACATTCTTACCAAATAATCCCAAAACTTTGCGAGGACAACTACCAAAAGCCGTAGATAAATGATTAACAAAGTTATATAACATAAGTTAAGTTTTGGAGTAATACCTACGACAGTATCGGCGCAACCACCATACATATGAAAATGCAAAAGGTATGTTAACTAGAGAGGTGTTCACAGAGAGGACCACGGGGCTTATTTCTCTCTAGTCTAAAGGTGTATTATTTTTACAAGTTATTCCCCACCAAAAACGTCCAAAAATATATTAATTAAAAAGTAGCTGATTAATAATACAGTATAATGACAAAAATATGGAATAGATATTACTAACGTTTATTTAACATTAATATTTATTATGCAATCAAACACACAAGTATAAATGAATATTTTACTTCGATTTTTATACTATTATTGTTTTTTTGGTTTTACATAACTGACTATTGTAACAATGTATATCAGTTTTTGTTTGTGTATAGAATTATATATATATATATATATATTATTTTTTTTATTTATCAGAGAAGTGTTTTTCTTGCATTATCCCATAAACTCACAGTATCCTGGCCGTATGTAGTTTATCAACAAGCTTCGGTCTCTTAAGGAAGATTAGTAGAGATAGAACACGAAAATATATGTATGTCGTGCTTGTGTAAGGATAACGTCATTTAAAAGAAACAAGAGTAAACGATAAGTCGATAACTGTTCTTTTTTTTTTTGTTACAAAGTAATTAAAGAAAATGGAAATTAAGTGAGGGCTGAAAAGAAAAGTAATGGTGGAGGTAGACTAAGAATAGGTTATCAAAAAGGTAAACTAAGAATAACACAAAAACAAACAAAAAAAACATTTGATGCAGGTTAAAGTCCCACACATTTTGATTTAAAGAGATGTCAAAAGAAAATGTTTCCATACACAAGATTGTAGACATAATTAACATGGAATACTCTTTCCAAATAAAACCATATAGTTTTGTAAGATTTAAATAATAGTGCAATGGGCTGATAACTCAATATGGGCCGCTTTTAAATATCTATGATGGAACATAAAATCTCTCTTGGATCCGAAACAACCCGACCTGCCCGAAACGACCCGACCGGCGTATTAATGATAGCCAATCATAATCCTTGAAATGAATTTTTTGTTTTTTTAAGGAAGTAGGTTTTGGAACGAGAGCAGAGAATATACAATTGACTACAAGTTGTAGTCCATAACCAATCAGAATCCTCTACCGTCCGATTGCTTTGCGGGTTCAGTTTATCCATATGGAGGGAGACGATATTGATCATTGATTTCTGAAATTCTTAATCACCTTCTTTTTACTAGTAGACAATATTATCATTTACCATTTCATAAGTTTCCCACCAGGAACTAGATTAAACAAAATTACAAAACCTGACTATTTTTTTTTTTGTTTTGAATAACAAGGGTTTTGAAGTTTCTGAATGGAATCCAATCACAAATCATGCCAAGCAACTAAATATATAATTAATTGTTTTAAATCAAATGATTAACTTAAATCCTAGCTTCCACACATGCTGTACAGCTAATTTACATCATTATACATATCAGCAATTTCAAAATTATAATATCCCCCAAAAATGAAACAAAATATTGCCAGAAAACGTCTTTGAAAGAGAAAAAAATCGATGATGATAAATAAATAATAATTCAAAGTTGATAGTCGTATTTTAATTATAAACAGAATAAAGAGGAAACGCAATTAACGCGACAGACCCCCCAAAACGTAAACAGTCAACCACTTGACAGCCTTTCCGCCGCCGCCGCCAGTAACGCAAACGCGTTCGTACACGCGCCCACTAACTTTCCAATATCTCGTTTCGCGGCGTCAACGCAGACGAAGACGGCGGCGAAATCGCCGGGGGTTTAGCTGAGGAGACCGGAACAGAAGCGTAGCGAGTGGAGAAGCTTCGGAATCCGCCCAACCCGACGTATTCGTCTTCGTCGTCGTCGTCGAAATTTAGCGAGTAACTCAAAGGATCGTATTGGAATTTCTCGCTTGCGTCCCAATCGCGACCGCGCCGTGGATCGCGATTGAATCGCCGTATGAAAGTCTTCCACCGTGGACCAGCTACGATTTCAGACCACTCTCGGATCTTCAGAGCCGCCCGTTTCCACCACCGTGGCTCGTCTCCGTGGTCGCCGCTTTGATTATCATCGACGGTGCGGATTCGTCCCCAGGAGGAGTATCCAACGGCGGTGGAGCTTCTAGACCGGAAGCTGGGGAAACATGAGCAGCAACGTGGATCGTACCGGGTTTCCGGATCTTGGGTTGGGTCCGATTGCACAAGTTCCATGGCCAAAACTGAGAGAGGATTTTTGGTCAATAGTTGTGAAATTGAAATTGATTGAGGTTTTAGCTGTAAACGTACCTATTGGAACTATTTATATACTTGTTTTTTTTATGCATATAATATATAGTTTTTTAAAGGATAGAAGCTAATTATTATTTTATATATAAGTTTGTTTTTCGAATTCATCGAAATTTGATCTAATGTGTGATACAGGTCACTGAATCATGTTTAACAATAATTTCGAATCTTTAATTGGTGACTAACATCTTTTATATTATTAAGGATATACAGTACGATGTTACAAAATACAAACTTTCAACAATCAGCACGATGATATTTCAAAATGTAAAATGGCAACACATGTCTGTATCCATAACTTCCAAATAGTATAATGAAAATATACAAAATTTATATGCATTTTCTTATTTACTGGATTTTCTAACAAAATATTTTAAATTTTAAGTAATATTTATTTTTTCTTCCACTTGGGACGAACAGTGCAGAAAAAAACGGGTCCTACGGTAGGAGAATATTCATATGGATGTTTTCATAAAAGAAAGTAAGAAACGATAGGATTTTGACCAAAATTCTTTTCTGAAGTTTGTTTTAGATGTCGATCCCCCAAAAAAAAGTAACCTTTATTTGATGAATAAATATGTGAACAAATAAACAGTGATTCTGCAAGAGGTGGATTCGAAATACATGGAACTAAAAACTCAAACACTTAATCAGTTAAATGGTCTTTGTGATAAATATTACATGAAAACATCTGCAATCTTGTTTTGCTTGGGATCATAATAGCAGACGTAGAAACGTCGAGGAGATTTCAAATTCAATGTCGTGGGCATGATCACAATCTCACCATTAGGAGTGACACCAGCGATGCAAAGTCTATCTCCTAGACTTTTTAATATAGAACAAGGCAGTGACAACACAATCTTAGACCATTCTTGTAATTTCTTGCTATGATGATGATGATGATCTTCCATAATCCACATCTCTGCACAATCGTCGTCGTTGGTGTAACTTATGCATCCTAATTTCCCTTTGTAATTTACCAAAGTCAGTTCCCACAACTGATTCATCTGCAGAGTTATGGGCATCTGGATACGATCAAATCTTTGGCAGCTAATGTCGAACCACGCTAGTTCATTATATTGATCATCCATACTCCCATGTAGTAGATTTTGAAACATTGGCTTAGGGCCAATTTTTTTAACATTTTAAAAAGCCTATTTATTTTTACCAAAAGATCAAACATATCATGATTTGAAAGGTATATATATACTTGTAAAGCTTAAAAATAGATACTGTTTGCATATTTCAACATAGTTTCTGTGATTTTATCATATAAAAAATAGTTAAAAACAAAATTAAAATTAGTAAAAGATGTTAAATCTCTACAAAATGGTGTTTTTTAATATTTTCTCATATTTTTTTTTGTTTTTCTGAAAAATTGTTTAGGGCTTCAGTTAATGTGGGCAAGGGTTCTGCTTGGATGTCAAGGTTTCTCCACTGCTGCTTTTTTGGACCTCCCAATAACGTGAAAACATGTTTTTCAACCGGATCATACCCGAAAAAATCATCACAGGATTTGCTGTATTTATCGCAAAATATCTCCGCTACTCCCGGATACACCGTGGCAGGGTCTTGAATATCACCCGAAACACAGATAATAAGTGCACGAATGTATTGATACTCAAAATCGCAACTTAACCTACGAGTTAATGCGGATATGAATTTGTTGTAATTAGTGATCATAGGATAAGTAGAGGACGAGAATGATGAAGATTGGTGCAACCAATGGGGGAAGATTACGAGTAGAAGCGGCTGAGCAAAAGAAGACCGAGTCTCGAGATGACCATTGCTTCGATACGCACTGGAACCTCACAAGTGACTTCACCGGAAGTCTCGAGAGTATATCCACCTTTAGATCCAAAGGGATATGGATACCGTTTGGCTTTTTTTCGATCTCGCTGTGATGTTGTCGTTTTGGAGATCGTGAGGTCTTCTTCTCTTGCATTACTCTCTTCATGGTGTCTGTTTTGTGTTTTGTGGAATATTTTTTTGATCAAGCATATCGTGTGGATCTTATAAACGAGGAAAACAATCTCTTTATATAATGATGTTTCAAACGATTAGATTCGTGTTTAATAATTTTTTTGACATATAATATTATTATTAAGAGAGTTTTTTATAATTCTTTCCTAATTTTAAAAGGTAAAGTTATTAAACAAAAAGGGAAAAATAAAAAATTTAAATTTATCCTTAAAGCCAAAATTAATAAAAAGGTTAAAATTCTATATTCATCATAAAAAGTTAATAAAAATCGTTTCCAAATTTTAAATAGTAAAGATACTAAAAAAAAAAGATAATTATCTCTAAGAGTAATATTTATCACTTTGTATAGTTGTCTTGAAGAAATTAACAGTTCTTAGTCATTAAAATGTTTAATAAGCTTCCTTGAAGACAAAAAAAAAGGTCAATTAAAAAGTTAACCCAAACAAAATCACCTTCAGAAACACAAGTAATTAAACAACTAATCTTTCTCTATGCATGCATGTGGCGTCCAAATAAGCCGTTAAAAAACCAAAAAATTAAACTGAGTTTAAATAAGCTATATGTAAATTTTTTAAGTATCATAAAGAAAGTTATAAGAAAAGCCACGCATTTGCATGGGTACTCATCGATCTAGTTGAGAACAATAGTACTAGTTAGTGTATATGTGTATTTATCAATTATGTTGGAGAAAAGAGAGAGAGAGAAGGTGTGAATTAAAGCGAGTGAAGAGCCGGGTGTTTCTCATGCATGGCGTACGAGCGGAGTCAACGGTTTCATGGCTCAAATGTTAAACACGTGTCACGCATTTGTTACTCCACCCAGATTCTGCTGATTCAGAGTCTCCCTATTAAAATCCAAATGTTCTTTTTGTTGATAAACAGAAACCAAAAATAATCCCTACACCAACAAAACCAAAAAAAAAAAATTAACAAAAACAAGAACCCAGAAACCATACATAAAAAAAATATAACTGTTACATCAAACAAACAAAACTGATCACAAATCAGAAACAAAAGACACTAGAGAAAAATATATAAAAAGAAAATCGAACCATCGAGAAAGGAGATTCGAGTTATTCCTAATACTTTTTGTTTTTTTCATTCTCAATTTTCATTCTCTAAAAATATACTTAATTAGACCTTCGAGGAAATCTGTAAAAGACAAGAATTCTACGAGATTCAAAGCAAAATGACGGACGCCCACACTGCCAGGACGATCGTCGGAATCATCGGTAATTCAACAAAACCTTGTTAATTAATCAATGGGATTTTTGTATTTAAGCATTATTAAATGTCTTGATTTCTTTTTGGTTATATGTTCAGGAAACGTGATATCTTTCGGCTTGTTCTGCGCTCCAATGTAAGACACATACTATTAGATCTTTTTGTTGTTGTTTCATATGTTGCAGTTAAATTAATGCATGGGATGATATGTATATATATGTGTGGATATAAATGATTATGCAGACCAACGATGCTGAAGATATGGAAGATGAAATCGGTGTCGGAATTTAAGCCAGATCCGTACGTAGCTACGGTTTTAAACTGCATGATGTGGACTTTCTACGGAATGCCTTTCGTCCAACCCGACAGTCTCCTCGTAATCACCATTAATGGAACTGGTCTTTTCTTGGAACTCGTTTACGTCTCCATCTTCTTCATCTTCGCTACCTCGTCTGTTCGCGTAAGCTTTTTTAATCCCCTCTCCCCATAGTGAATTATTAGCACGCATGCACGATAATCACGATCGATATAATGCGTTATTCTTTTCTTTGTAGCCATCCAGTTTCATGTTAATTAGTCTCAACTCCCGTCATCTTTGTACTCTAATCGTGATCTCTTGAAAACGTGACTCTCCCAATTTGGTTTGTAGTATAAAGTTTTTGACTTGTATAACTTTTGCATATAATAGAAGATCTCTAGGTAGATTTGATCAGATGGTTTACTTTTACTTCATGATATGCGTATTAAATTTGATGATTGTTATACAGAGAAAGATCACGATAGCTATGGTGATCGAGATGATATTCATGGCGGTGGTGATCTTCTGCACATTGTATTTTTTGCATACAACAAAACAGAGATCTATGCTTATTGGGATCTTGTGCATTATTTTCAATGTTATCATGTATGCTGCTCCTTTAACCGTCATGGTATGCTCTATTCTCTTCCTCATTTCTCCTTATTATTAATTAACTTGGTATATATCCAACGTGCGAATGGTTTAACTTGACCAGAATAAGCCTTATCAGATTTGAATTTCAATCATCACATCGCTAAAAACTAGCTAGCAGCCTAGCATGCATGATTTATATATATGAGTCAATTGAATTTATTTCGAAATCTTGTAACTGGTTTCATCATGAACAAACCTCGAGACTAATCACGGATATGCAAGAATGGATATTTTTTATTGCATATTTTTTTTTATTTCTCTCATTGTTGTCTTGTGAACTAACATTTAATGGGTTTCATTTATGTGGAACAGAAACTTGTGATAAAGACAAAGAGCGTGAAGTACATGCCGTTCTTCCTGTCACTAGCCAACTTCATGAACGGCGTCGTTTGGGTCGTTTATGCATGTCTTAAATTCGACCCCTATATTTTGGTAAACTTCAATCATCACCCCATAATTCTCAACTCAATCAAGATACATATTAGTATATTTTACAAAACCCTAATATATTGAGTTATTTCATGAAAACAGATTCCAAATGGTCTTGGATCCCTATCAGGAATAATCCAACTTATATTATACGTAACTTACTATAAAACAACTAACTGGAACGATGAAGATGACGATAAAGAAAAGCGCTATTCTAATGCTGAGGTCGAGCTTGGCCGAGCTTGACAGTTGCAGCTATGGCTTATGGGTCGCACTTTTTTCTTCCTTTTATTTTTGTTTTACAAAAGTATCATCATCGTCGACTGGTAATTACCAGCTTCATCGTTAGGTTAAGATAGATTCAGAAGAGATGTCTATGTGAAGAAGAAGAAAAAATCTAAGTTATAAAGTTTTCTTGAGTAGAAAGAAAGAGGTTTCACATATTTGTTGAAATGATTATAACTTTCGAAAGTTGAATCTATGTAATTTGTTACACTTATAGTTTTGATCAAAATCTTATTAGATTATTCTATAACATTTTTTTGGAATAAGAAAAAAAAAAACAAAATCGTCCATTAGAGCATCTATAATGGTGAACTTTTTATGGAGTTTACCTCAAAATTTTTATTAATTAAATTTTGAGAAGAGAGAGAATGTAAAAGAAGAGAGAAAATCGAAGAAAAGAAGAAGAGAAGAGAGAGAAAGAGAGAGAAAGAGAAAGAGAGAGAAAGAGAAAGAAGATGGAAGAGCAAAAAGCTCAGCCAATAAAATTATGCCACGTCGCGTGAACCTCTTCTTAAAATCGATTCTAAAAACTCTAAATTAAGACACATTTTATAAATATTGAGTTTTATTCACTTATTTTTAATGACAAAATCCATGAACTTTTGATGTTCTTAAAACCTCCATTACAAATGGTCTTACTATTGATGTTAAGAACAGAGGTTCTCTTGTTTTAGGTTTGTTTGCTTCTGGCAAGAGTTAAAAAATATAAACCTGCTGCAATCTAAGATCATGTTTATCGCCAGTTTCTAATTGGGTTTCTGGGGCATTAATGGCCCAAAAGAAAATCAAAAATGGTTTTTATTAGGAGGATCGATCCCTAATTAGGGACCATAAAGGATCGATCCTTGAGCATACGTGGCAAGATTTGGTTGGTCAACGAAATTATGGGGAGAGAGAATTTTTTTTTCGACCAAAAAATCCATCGTCGACCAAATCGCCTTCTTCACCCAAAATCGCCTTCTCCGTTGTTATGCCTGAATCTGTGTCTTTTCTGATCTAAGGGATGCCTGCCGGAGCCAAGAGAACTCTCCGACGACCTTCAGATAAGTGAATCCTTCTCTCTATCATGTCTTGTCGATTTCTTTGGTTATCTCCTTCTCCGTGTTTTTTTTTGTTAATTAAGAATTTGTGGCATGAAATCGATCGAATTTGTTGTCTGTATAATATCTCGTTGATTGGCTGTGGTGCCCCCAAACTCAACCCTCTATTACGAGATTGACCTTGTGGCTTTCGACAAAGTTAGTAAACAGTTTTGGTTGTTTACGCCCATTAACAATTCAGCGATTAAAGAAATATTAGGTGTCCAACACTTGCTTCTCACTTGAGCTTTTAGGAAAAAGAATCATGGGACATGAACACGGAGGAGAAGATTGAAGCTGCTGGTAAGAAGAAGGAAGAAGGAAACTCCAAGTTCAAAGCAGGCAAGTAATTAAAAGTGTTGAAGGTGGTGTGTAATCTAAATGACGCAGCCTGCAAACTGAAGCTGAAAGAGTACAAGCAGGCTGAGAAACTATGCACAAAGGTAACTAATTTGTGGCTAAGACTACATATCTTTTAATGTGGGTTTAAAAGCTTGGATGAACAAGAATGATGGTAATAATGGTGGTTTCGATGTTTTAGATATTAGAGCTTGAAAGCACCAATGTGAAGGCTTTATACAGGAGAGGCTAGCATACATGGAGCTAGCTGATTTGGACTTGGCTGAGTTTGTTATATAAGAGGAGATTGTCAAGTTTAATTCAAATGATACGGAGTTGAAGCTGGAGCAGAGACGGTTGAAGGAGAAAATGAAGAAGTTTAACAAACAGGAGGCCAAATTTTACGGGAACATATTTGTGAAACTAACAGTAAGTGTAACTCTAAGTCCATGGTTGATCTTACTCATCTAATTATGAACCAAAAACTTATCTTTTGTTTTTGAGGTAATGTGCATAAATGATGCAGCATCATCGTAAACATCATGCTCGGAGAAGAAGAATGGTTTATTGGCTTTTGATATTTTGGTCTTTTTCTATTTCTTTTCCTTAGTTTTGATTGACTTAAATGTTGTTAGATTTCTACCAATACACCTGAAAAATTAAGCAGTTTCTTAATGAGTTTCTCATTCAAATTTTAATATTAAATTAATTATGAGAAACCAACATTAGTTTCTACCAATAAACATGCTCTTAATAAGTGAGGAGGGTAAGATGGTCATTTACTCCAGAATCTAGTAACAGAGTAACAGTTGAGAAAACGTATTTCACAGTTGAGAAACTTACCGGTTCACCCGATTTGAATTTAGAAACGAACCAATGATCTAAACCGGAATGTGTGATTACAATTGTGTGGTTTGAGAGTGCTTAAAACACGGAGGACCAGAAATCCCGTTTGAGATGACGACGATCGAATTATGTTATCATCATCGCCGGCGGCCACCACCGCGCTTCCTCCTCCGCCGCCTGAAACCTACCAAATTTCTCTGAATTTACTTTCCTCGCCGCAGATTACTCGCCGACGCCTTTTCAAGACTCTCTCACTATGTCTCGCCGCACAACCAGTCTCCGTCTCCACCGCCGCACCAGCCCACGCACGCGGCCTCTTTCAAATGCCGCCTCTCCGGCTTTCTAATCGGTATCCCCTCTTCGGAACCCTAAACTCCTATTTTGAATTCTGATATCTACTTAGACTTTAGTAGACTTTTGGAATGCTCTTGCTAAAACTGTCTTTGTATTGGTGAGATTCCAAAATTCTTCACACGGAACAGTTCAATAGTGGTTCCATGACACTACACTTGCTTGATTCCGAGGTTGGAGCTGATTGTACAAAGTGTTTTTCTTGAAAAAAGTTATTACCTTGTGAGAGCTGGGGAATCGGATTACGAAAGCTTGGGGATAATCAACACAAACCCGGTGGCCAAAACATCGGTAGATAGTGGATTATCAGAGAAAGGTAAGAAGCAGACGGTGAGAGCTGCGTTACAGTTAAAGGCAATGGGAGCTTGTGACCGAAACTGTTGGCTATGGCCTTCCATTACACAGAGAGCTTATCAGGCTGCTGAAATCATCGCTTCCATCAATGGAATTAGTCGCAGGTAATCCCCAATACTGAGATAACATTACTGTGAAAAACCGAATCTTTGTGATGATGGTATGTGTGTTTCTTTTTGCAGCTATATAGTTCCGGAATATAGCTTCCTTGATGCTCGTGGTTTAGGAGCCTACGAAGGCAAGAAACTAGATTCCTTATCAGAAGTAAGATTTCACATGTTGAAATGAGGCGCTATTAGAGAACTCGGGTTGTAAGTATATATAATGTGGTTACTATGATTTGTTGCAGGTGTATGCATTAGACTCAGTATCGATGAAGACAAAACCTCCTCCTATAAGCGACGGTACGCCTAACGAGAGTGTGTCAGATGTATTCGTGCGTGTGACGCAGCTCATGTCCATTCTCGAGACTCAATACTCAGAGGACACAGTGGTCATTGTTTCGCCTGATTCAGACAACTTATCTGTGTTGCAAGCTGGTGTTCAGGGCCTGGATCTTCGAAGGCACTCGGAATTGTATTTTGGACCAGGAGAAGTGAGATTGTTAGACGCAGACAGCATCCCTGTGTATAAGCAACCTGCCTCTGCTGTATATAAATGTACAAACCCACCAAACTGTGACTAGTTTCATCATTTCTATAGTTTATACTATATATATACAATCAAATACAATTTCGATCTAATCAATATTATCCCTGTTTAGACTGTTTGGATCTTCTAGTTTTTTTTTTTCTATATCTTTATGGCTCTACACAATATATAACTCATTGTTGACTTATTGAAATTTGGAACAGAGAGATTGGTTCATAGGAAAATGGCGTTTATGTAATTCATTCTAAGTTGTAGTTTTCTTTTGTCCTCGTTTGATAACTAAGGACTCCTCTATCTAATGTGTGTGTGTGTCGAAGACCAAACAGCAGAAGAGTAACTTAACTTATTGGATTCACTGATGTAACATAAGAGAGAAGGACGCATGATAACAATTTGAAAAAAAAAGGACGATGCGAGAGTTCAGAGAGTGACAGAAACTGAATGCAAAACCTTGTAGCGGCGATGTAAGAAAGGTTCAACGGTCATGACAGGATGAGACCACTCAATGTAGCCCCAAATCTCGGCTCCTTGGCGTCTCTCCAAGGAAATCTCTGCACACCAAATCTCAAAACGATCCCCCTCGATGACATCCCAAAAGATCACAAGGTTAGAACTAAATTTGCAGAGTCTTGCTCCAGGAAGTAAATCTGCCAGCTTCTTGTAGACACCCGAAGGGGACTTACGGCACGAAAACTTCCACATGCCTTCGTTCCTGCGATCAAAGTGGACCAGTCTGGAGCTAGAGAGACTCTCCACGAGAGATCCCAAACCCTTTACCCACTTCCAATCCATCCTCTCTTCGCTCAGGTTCAGAGCACTCCAACTGAGCTTGCTCACACCAACGCAACTTCCCAAACCGATCACAAGAGTAGATAACGTTATCAATCACACACCAATCCCTTTTGTTTCCTCGCAAGTCACTATGATTCCCTCTTCCCCATTTACTTTCACTCGGCGAGTAGTACAAGCTTTCTTCCACAACATCCACTGCATAAATCTTTCCCTCCTTGAGGACCACACTGTGACGGAGCCGGACAAGTCTTCCTTTTTTTATGCGGTGACTCCTCGGCGGCTGAATTCGACATCGCACTCTTTCTGAGAGACACCGCGAGAATTTTTCTTTTTATAGGGTACTAAATTAGCGGGGTTATGATTAATTTTTTTTTTTTAATTTTTTTCAGTAAAAGATGTTAAATTTTTAAGTTTTCCTTTTTCATTCATCGAATTTAAATTTCCGTTTTATTAACGCTGGCTTTTAATTATATTTTTTTCCCTCGTTTTGTTTAGTTATTTTACCTTTTTCCGGATTATAAATCAATCATAAACTTATCGTTTTACTGTTAATATTTCTGTTTAGTTATTATCATGGCGATGAAAGGTGTTGATTTGAAGTGGTTAGTTTTATTCTTTTGAACAAGATTTTATTAAGTGGTTAGTTCCTAATTAGTATTCTGCTTCTGTGTTTGACCTTAACTGAAGCAGATTCCAATAATTTTGTATTTCTCCAGTTTTATAACTTTGGTGTATCTGAAATTTTGTGGGTGAATTTTTAAATGCCTAGCAGGTACGATGGGTTCTTCTTGTCGATGCGCGCGACTAGTCTGTATCCTTTACAGCTCAGCTTGATGGATTCTTCTAATTGTAATTCTATGCCTTTATTCTTCTGTTTTCTATTCTGATTCTTGAAAATTCGATCTCGTTTTTGGGTAAAAAAAATAAAAAATAAGAAGGATATTGGGTTTTTACATTTTTGTAAAAAACAAGAATTGTCCATGTGACATGTCTTAGACCATATATCCACATTAGTCTTAAGTTATAAACATGGACCATATATGTATAGACCATAAACATGAATCTTATGTTATAAACGAAACACCTCTTGGAACTACAATATATGGGAATTACTTCTTGTATTTACTTTGGATACTGTGAAATTATAAAAGTTTCACAAGCTTTCATCTGATTTAAACTGATCAAGAACGGCTTTTGTGATCGATTATTCGAAACAAAAAGAAATTACTGTAAGAAGAAAAAAGAAAGTGTTGTGACAATGGATTTTGAAAGATTCATATGGTAAAGACAGAAATAAAAAAGATAAATAAATAGGAGTGGGTGGGTTGCTTTGTGCTTTAAACAAAGAACAAAAGGCAAAACAATGCTTTTGATATTTTACTTTTTTTTTTGTTATTTATTGATTTTTATTTAAAGAGAGAAGACATTTGATTCAAAAGGGAATGCTAAAAAAACTACAAAAGATTTGACAAGATTGAAAACAAAAACATTTGATAGAGATCATTAGATCAATGATCGATGCTTTACTTTAGCTTCGTCCGTCTTGGTGTATATTCTTTGTGTTTTCCTTATACTACCTTTAACTTTTGTGCTGATTTTTATTCGAGAATGCTTATGTTTATGGTTTTGTCGTATAAAGAAAAAACGATGGATTCACCTATAAAATATATTTGAATAAATAGATCAGTCATATAGAAAAACAATCTACTTATTTTTTTACTAAGAAACACATTAACTTATTACATTTTTTGGATAGCGTCATGGACAAACAGAAATTTGTGATTAATAAAAAAAATACGAACAAGACGAAGAGTAAAAATATAGTATCGTATGTGCATATTTAGCAAGCTGATATATTACTTTAGCAATATGGAATCTTTATGGCTGGTAAAAAGAGCAAAAAAAAAAATCAGCAAACACATGCAGAAAAACGTAGACATCTTATGATTGCGTCATATATTAATGTGGTTGCTGCAACACCATTGGTCAATAACATATGGGTGCACCGTGCACATATACATGCCTAACACTGGATCACTGAGGGTTTTAATTCTCCACGAAGAAACGCAAAGTGGGTCCGGTGTACCTTTTGTTGGGGGGAGATACATTCGTTCACTCTGGATTGCGTCATATATCAATGTGGTTGCTGCAACATCATTGGTCAATAACATCTGGGTGCACCTGCACATATACATGCGTAACACTGGATCACTCGGGGTTTAATTCTCCACGAAGAAACGCAAAGTGGGTCCGGTGCACCTTTTTCCTTTCTTTGCCGGGAAAACAATGAGAAACAGAGAGAGTTAAAGTTTCTTTTTCTCCTTCACTTTCTCACTGCACATAACAAACAAAAACACACACAAAACCTCTCCAAATCAATTCTCGCCGGAGAATCGAATCAGTAATCGCATCTCGAGATTTCCGACGGTGTGAACCATGAAGCGGACTACCTCGTCGAACTCGGAAGCGCAGAGTTACATCGAATCACCACTCTCTCCTCTTCGATTTCACTCTCCGCTATCAGATGCCGGAGATCCACCGGAGAGCCGTTACGTTTCGCCTGAGGGATCACCGTTCAAACTCGAAAATCCGAAGGCGATCGTAACCGACGGCAAGTTCACGCAGTTAACGCCTCTGGCCTCGCCGGTTCCGCCGCCACCTCCTCAGTTTCCGCCGCCGCATCGTCAGAGAAACGCGAGAGCCCCGACGAATTCGTCTTCTGATAAGTCTCCGTCGTCTATGGTGGTGGTCAATCGCTGGGTGAGAGAGGATGGCCCACAGACTACGACGAGGAAGGTTGGACGGCCGACGAACGGCGGAGAATCGGCAACGACGACCGTGAACAGAGAAATACGGGATGAATTGGTAAGTAAGGCGGCGCTAGGGTTTAGAGTGAGCGAAGTAATTCTGTGCGTGATATCGTTTTCAATTATGGCGGCTGATAAAACTCAAGGATGGAGCGGCGATTCCTATGATCGCTACAAAGAGTACAGGTCTCTCTTCTCCCTCGATCTGTTTCTTTCTCCCTTCTTCTTTACACATTTTAGGAGTTTAGAGTTGGTTTGAAATCTGAATTAGATCAGTCAAATTTTGTCAACACAAAAATTTGCAGGTATTGTTTGGCTGTAAACGTTATAGCATTCGTTTACTCTGCATTTGAAGCTTGCGACGCTGCTTGCTACATCGCCAAAGAGACTTATATGATAAACTGCGGATTTCACGACATATTCGTTTTCTCCATGGATCAAGTGAGTGTTTTTTAACATTTTGTATTTGTAAGCAAACACATAATGATTCTGATGAGCCTCTTTTTCTTTCTGATGCTTTTAGCTTCTTGCATACCTTTTGATGTCGGCTTCTTCATGCGCTGCTACACGAGTTGATGACTGGGTATCTAATTGGGGCAAAGACGAGTTTACTCAGATGGCAACAGCTTCTATCGCGGTTTCGTTTATAGCGTTTGGTGCGTTTGCGGTCAGCGCTCTGATTTCTGCTTACAGGCTCTTCACTCATGCATCTTCTTAATTATCCCCTTTGTGTTGCCCTGAGAATATATGACTCTCGTCTTTGTACAGTCTCTCTTATAGTCATAGCTTAGAAATTAGCACATGGTAATGTTTATTGCTGCTTCATTGTGTGATAAAAGTTTCAATATGTATTTAACAATAAGGCAAGCAAGCAAATGACTGAGTTTACTTGTGTAACAAGGTTTGACTTGTTTTCTTTTTCATAACTAATATTAAATTTAAGGTAGGTGATAAATCCCAAAACCTAGTAAATACATGTGTTTTCGTACAAGCAAACCTCAAAAAGTACCATAGGAAACGTATTTGCATCAAGAAAACCCGAAATTATCTATCTTTTTAGTTCCCTTCTTGGCTGATCTGTTGCTGCTCTGTTTCTTCTTGAATCTCTGTGACCTGCAATCTTCCTGATCCATCGCCACCAGATTCAGAGAACTTAGTGATCTTCTGTAACTCATCGCTCACACCTGACTGGTCATCACTAGCAGCTGCATCTTGGTCTATCTTAGCCTGTGGCTTAGGACGGCGAATGGCCTCGGCTGCTTCTGGCATAACGACCGGAGGAGGTTGTGGAGGAACCCACGAGCGTTGCCTTTGGAGAGCTGCTGGCTCCATTGTATTTGTTTCATTTTGGATGCCGATGGAACGTGAGGCTGTTGTCTCATATCCAAAATCCGTGGATCTAGGGGTTTTCTGTTGCCACCATGAACCGTTGGAACTATCGTCCTGTGGCGCTTGCCCATAGTCCCATGGCTGATCATAATAATAAGATAACATGGGTGATCAGCAAAACTTAATTTTTAAGAAAAAGTGTGCTGTTCCATAAAATCGACCAAGATTCATTATAAAGAATGTTGTCTTAGATCAAAATTGAGAAACATTTTAAGTTTGTACCTTAGTTTTAGGAGCGATGCGAGGATTTGATAGCTGTTGATTTGGATTGGGTGGCATGTCGTTAATCTCCTGTATTTCAGTGAAAGTCTGATAAGTTTGTCACACTGAACTACAAGGTTAGTCTAATAAAGGTGCCAAAAAGAATTTTTTTCAATTTACCCGAATGTTCGAAGGCTTCTCCCCTCTCTGGATCATAGACATTATCTGCAACATCAGCAAATTTCAACTAAATGTTAAAGAAGATTAATTGGAAATTCAAAGGGAAAAGATTCAATATATAACCCATGATTCTGTAGCCAACTTTAGAGATTTCAGAACATTACATCCATGTATGACTTTGGATGAGGGGGCATAGATGAATCAGCTGGAGCAGGAGGAGAAGCAGATCGTGCTGTATTATTATTTAGTTAGTGAGAATAGCCTAATTCAAAATCAATAAAACATAATGTAGATTGAGCAAGAGAGAGCAGTTACCTGAGCGCGTGTCATAATCAACATTGCTGCCATTTGCATAAGGTTTCTGCATCACACATCAACGTTCCTAATGTTACCAAAAGGACTGTATTATCAAGTTCAAGTGTGCTTAGTTGATTAATGAGGGGATCATTGGTCTCTTTGGAGTGTTTAGGTTTCAGATTCTGTTTCTTTCGTTCAAGTTCAATAAACAACTTGTTTTGAGTAATTCTTTGTGTTTTGTGATCCTTTATTCTCTCTCAATTGGTCCAACCTAACACAAATGCCTAAGGAATGACAACGACCACAGACAATGATATATAATTCCACTGGTTAATTGTCAAGTTAAAGTCTGATGAGAGACTTTGGATTTATTTTCCAAAGTTTATTCCTTCATAGGGTTTGATGTTAGGTTTTCTCTCTACAATGGATAGAATCTCTGTTGTGAGAAACATCCAAGGATAGAAGAGACCTTATAGGCTTATTGGTGGCAATTACAGAAGGAGTAAAACTAATCTCTTTGGGATGTTTTCGTTTCAGATCCTGCTACTTTACATTTAAGTTCGATGAAGAAAAGTGCTTTTTTGAGTTTTCTTTCTGTTTGAGGATCATTTACTCAATGCATCAAAAATTATTCTATAATCCCTTGGGACATTTAAACTCACCCTTGCTGCTGGAGTTGTGATCGAACCACCATAAACCTCTTGGTCAGCTGAATAAAGCTTTGGGAGGTTGTTCGATTTCCCTGAAATTAGGAAGTGGATATAGAATATTACTCTTTAGATCAAGAAGCTTTAACAGTGGCTCTTAGGATCAACCAAAAATTAGGAACCTAGACCCTATATGACTCCTGATAAGAGTGAAGTTGTAATAGTTCAAAATTAGATGTAACAATATGAATACTAAGACACCTAACAGGTGCATTATTAAAGCTTGAATACTTACCTTCGAGCGAACGGATATTATTGCTCAAGGACTTCATTTCTTGTACTTGGACACCTAAGACGTGCATTAAGTCCTCAAAATACTTCTTTTCTGACAAGAAACAATGCAAAGATTTGGTTTCAGTGGAAAAGGAAGAAACGACCAAGAGAAGTGCAGAAATGGTTACAGAAAAAAAAAAAGAGAAACTAAGGTCTAGACTAAACTGCAGAAATAACGTCTACCTTCACTCTTAGTTTTCATCATTTCCTGACTAACCCTGGCTACATCAGAAGCAGCCGCAGAAGCAGCTTTGGCTGCAGCTACTGCTTCTTCAGCTAAGCTAGGTTTTGCATCAGCTTTCTTCTGAGGATCAGTTTCTTCTTCCAACATTATTCTGCGGACCCACGATTTTAATCTGGGGATGAGAGATTTCTGAAACAAGAACAAATCTCATTTCAATGCGAACTTGATTTTGTAGAAGGAAAGTAGTACCTTAAAATTCGACTGCACATGGAGCATTATAACACGTCTAGCAAAAAAACTAAATCCAGAAAAGGGAGAAACAGCTTTCCGACACCCTAACAAATTTTTTTATGAAGACTGCAGACTGTTTTTATGAAAGGTTTTGGCGTCTATGCTCTGGTGGTCACATTGAAATGGAGAATCAGATGTGAACTTCATTAGCTAAGCCAAACAATGAATTCCAAAATGTTCTCTTCCATTTCAGTTATGACCTCACACCATCTTATCCTATTATTCGGTGTACTAAGTAAAATCATAAGACAAAGATCTTAACACACTGCATATAAAGGGGTTTCAGGTAAACGGTACCTTTACAAAAACAGCTGTTCCGGCACCAGAAGCCGCTAAAACTCCAACAGCAAGAGCAGCATGGTACCAGCGAAAGCGGGAGAGAAAACTTGGAGGCGGAATCATAACAACGGGAGCAGGAGCAGGCTGCATGGCTTGTATCTGCCCTTGTGGCTGAACATTAGAGACTGCTTGCTGTCCATCTGTTTGTAACACTATAAAAAATTCAATACACTGAATAGTCCAGCCATCAAAGGAACAACCAAACATATGTTCTTGCTAATTTACCTTGGCTGTTAACATTTGTCTGCGAACTTGGTGGCGGGTCCTATGTTCAATATTTTTGCAGAGGTAAGCCATTGAAAATGATATTTTTTTAATGATCAAAAGACAGGAAGAGGAAGCAAAGAAGCTTACAGGAACACGGCGGAAAGCTTCGTCGATCTCTTCCTTTGTGAGGCCTTTCCTCTCAAGAAACGATCTTCTATGAATAACAGGAGATCCTCTAACCCTCGGGTGCGAAAGGAATTTGATGGCGTTCTGAATTTGGTCCTCCCGTATTGGCTCTGAATTCTTAAACACAGAGGGAAGAGAGTCCTGCTTAGCAGTTTCTTGAGCGATGCTAGCTTGCTGAACATCATTTGCAAGTGGCTTTGTTACTTCTGTAATAACATTTTTTGTAAACAACAACGTTAATTATAAATCCTACAAGTTTTTCCATTTTCCAAGAGGCAATACAAAGAATTTGTTCGCGAAACCAATAAAAATGCCCATTTTAAGGTATTGAAGAAAAAAAGAGAGATTAGAGGCTGTAACTAAACCTGAAATCTGGGATTTTTCATCACCCGGAGCTGGAAAATCGGAAGGAGTCTGCTGATGAGTTGCCATAGCAGCTCACCGACCTTCAAAGGATCCAAGAGGCAGAGACTTCGAAATCGAAGTGAGAAAGAAGAAACGAAGTCGAAAACGATTGATAAGAGAAGAGATCTTCTCCGGGAGAAAGGGAAAAAAAATCGTGGGGATGAGTAATCAGATTTTGCTCATATCGAGGAAGAGAGAGTTTTAAGTTGGAAATTCCGAAATCATGTTTTCGCTGATTTTTATTTTTCTTTGCTGTTTGGTGAGAGTGTATCTGTGTGGCCACCACACCAAGAGAGGATAATGCCATCGTGTGGTTTTTATTTTTCCTTGCTCTTATATTTGGGCCTTATAACAATGGGCCTGAAAGAAATATTTGTTTTAATGGGCCTTTTTAAAGCCGCACTGATTTAGTCTCCTTTATAATAACATAGAGAAAATGGGAACGTGTCGTTACCTTAATAGGGGTCGCTCTTACTAAAAGTCGAATCTTTTAACAAAATGCTAAACGAAATTAAAAAATGTGAAAACTGTTGGTGTATGTACCATTCAAATTGCGATCTCACTCACCAATCCATATTCTTCTTATCATCTTTCTCACTGTTTCTGCTTTCTTCCAAACTAGTTCTTCTTTGACAATCTGAGTTGAATAAAAAAAAAAGGTGGGTTCTCTGAAAAATATTCGATTTCGAAAAGACTGATGATGACACTAAACTCATTATCTCCAGCTGAATCCAAAGCTATTTCTTTCTTGGATACCTCCAGGCTCAATCCAATCCCTAAAATTCCAGGTTTATCCCCAAAAATCCACTAATCTCTCATCTTCTGCAAATCTCTTTTGGATATAAAAAAGCTGCAACTCTTTTCTTTACTTCTTCTTCGACTCGTACGAATTTTGCCGTCTGGGTATCTTCAAACTGTAACATATGACCCATTTTTTCTGTAAATTCATCGATTTCAAAAACTAAACTTGCAAAATTCGAAATTTTCAGGTTACTTTAGTTCTGTTAGTTTAAATTTTACATCTTTGGGGTGTCGCCAGGTGGGTTTTGTTTGAGGAGGACGAATCAAAGGAAAGATTTTGGAAAAGAAGTCAAGTGTTCAGTGAAAGTGCATCAGCAACCTCCTCCACCTCCAGCATGGCCTGGAAGAGCTATTCCCGAGCCGCCTCGTCAGTCTTGGGATGGACCAAAACCCATCTCAATCGTTGGATCCACTGGTTCTATTGGCACTCAGGTTTTATATCCATTTCTTGTTTGGCAGATGATTTTAGCTCCATAAGTTGGACTAGAGACGTTGTTTTCCAGTTCTTGAGTGAGCTGAGACTGTAAATTGTGTTTATATTGTTGGAATCATTTTCTATCGATAAGCAATTGCAGTATCTTGTATTTTGTAGACATTGGATATTGTGGCTGAGAATCCCGACAAGTTCAGAGTGGTGGCTCTAGCTGCTGGTTCGAATGTTACTCTCCTTGTTGATCAGGTACATCTTAACATCATGTGTAAATTTACAGTTAATTACTCTCTCCGATTTGTCGTTTATACCACCTGGAATCAATGTTTTATTGTGAAGTAGCTGTGTAAACAGGTTCTTGCTTAGTTTTTTCGCCTTCGGTGATCTCGAGAAAACTCTATACAGTATTATGGTTCTCTGACTCTCTTTTGAATGGTGGTGCAGGTAAAGAGATTTAAACCTGCGTTGGTTGCTGTTAGAAATGAGTCGTTGGTCAATGAGCTTAAAGAGGCTTTAGCGGGTTTGGACTATAAACCTGAGATTATTCCTGGGGAGCAAGGAGTTATTGAGGTTAGTGCATCTTTTCCAGTTTTTGAGTGCGGTGTGGATTTTTACAGATTTTTGGATCCTCTTCGAGTTTTTGCTTAAATTCATCTACAGGTTGCTCGTCACCCGGAAGCTGTAACTGTTGTTACAGGAATAGTAGGTTGTGCGGGATTAAAGGTATATACTCTCTTCTTTTTTTTGTCCCTAAACCTTATTGAGAGAAAATGAGTAAGAAAGTTAGAAAACTTGTTGTTTATTTTTCCTGCAGCCTACGGTTGCTGCAATTGAAGCGGGAAAGGACATTGCTCTTGCCAACAAAGAGACATTAATCGCAGGTGGTCCTTTCGTGCTTCCACTCGCCAACAAGCATAATGTTAAGATTCTTCCAGCAGATTCTGAACATTCAGCCATATTTCAGGTATTGAAATGCACATAGAATTTGAGTAACCCCACTTTCTTATTGACTTAAGTTTTGGTCTTAATGCAATTTATAGCGCTGGCAATTGAGTGAATTTATTGATTGCTATGTTCTCTAGTGTATTCAAGGTTTGCCTGAAGGCGCTCTGCGCAGGATAATCTTGACTGCATCTGGTGGAGCTTTTAGGTTTGTTTCAACATCCTTTTGCTATTCTTCTCACTCCATAGATTTTTTTCCTTGATTCTTATTTGGTTACAAAAAATGTTGGAAAAGGGATTGGCCTGTTGAGAAGCTCAAGGAAGTGAAAGTAGCGGATGCGTTGAAGCATCCAAACTGGAACATGGGAAAGAAAATCACTGTGGACTCAGCGACCCTTTTCAACAAGGTTAAGATCCTTTTCTTCTCAAATTAAACTCAAAAGTATCTTTGATCCGTTGTAAGATGAGCTCTTGATATCTTGAACAGGGTCTCGAGGTCATCGAAGCTCATTACTTGTTTGGAGCTGAGTATGACGATATAGAGATTGTCATTCATCCTCAGAGTATCATACACTCCATGATTGAAACACAGGTCTTGCTCTGGAAAGAAAATAACTGCATGCATTTTTTTTCATGTATTTAGAAAACAAAATTTGCTTAACATATATATATATGTCTTTTGTTCCATAGGATTCATCTGTACTTGCTCAGTTAGGATGGCCTGATATGCGTTTACCGATCCTGTACACCATGTCGTGGCCCGATCGGGTTCCTTGTTCTGAAGTAACTTGGCCAAGACTTGACCTTTGCAAGTAAGCAATCCACACACATATTTAGATATCCTCTCCTCTGTCAAATAAATCGACACACACACATTGTGGATTTTGGCAGGCTCGGTTCGTTGACATTCAAGAAACCAGACAATGTGAAATACCCATCAATGGATCTTGCTTATGCTGCTGGACGAGCTGGAGGCACAATGACCGGAGTTCTCAGTGCAGCTAACGAGAAAGCCGTCGAAATGTTCATTGATGAAAAGTAAGAATTTTGTTTTTCTTTTTCTTTGAGAGTTATCCCAAGTAATAATCTTGAAAGGAATCACATTGTTTTTAATGTCTCGTTTTGTTTACAGGATAAGCTATTTGGATATCTTCAAGGTAGTGGAATTAACATGCGATAAACATCGAACCGAGTTGGTATCATCGCCGTCTCTTGAAGAGATTGTTCACTATGACTTGTGGGCGCGTGATTACGCTGCGAATGTGCAGCTTTCTTCTGGTGCGAGGCCAGTTCATGCCTGATAATTAGTTGTTGGCAAGGAGATTGATTAATTCAGTGATTAAGAAGAATTGTTGGAGAAATGGGTTCCTTTTAACACCGTTTTGGCAAGGATTACCGATTCTAAGTTGTACCTAATCTAATCTGTGGTCCGAACAAGCCAAACCGAAATTTTAAACCAATAAAGCTGAATTCAATTTTATTCCCGCTTATTGTTTTTTATTTCTTCGGTTCGATTATTATTTGCAAGGTAATATATGGTAGAAAAATAAAAGAGTGTAAATAGTTGTACAATTACAAGAATAAAGGAATTTTACCATTTACATTGAAACACACATAAAATGACTTGCACCCATATCACTTGACAAACTTGAATTATGAACAAATTTTCTTTAAGTATTCATGTACTATACTCAAGATGAACAAATGGAACAATACTATTTTACTATCATCCATATAACATATTTGGCTCATTACTTTTCCATTCATCTTTTTTCCCACTCGCTTAATTCATGTTTATGTATGTAATTAAAATTCGGTTGAATGGTATTTAACTATTTACTGTTTGCCGTTAACTTAAGAAAAATAACAAAAAAAATGTATACAGATGAAATTAAAAAATGAGGGAATTTACATTTTCGTTTCACAATAATTGCTTTGAAAATATGGCAATGTAAGACTACTGCAAGATATGAGAGCTAATAATTTTTGTTTCTAATGATAACAAAGGATTAATTAGGATTAAGAAAACTAATCACGACTTTTTCACCTTAGAGTAAGGATAAAGACAGCAATGCACTCTTTTGAACCTACTCCCACCGCTAAAATCATTAGGAATAATTTTAACTTGCAAGTCATATATGAAAATCCTTCACATTAGATTAATAATTGTTTGGTGAAAGCGATTTCGAACAACAAAAATGTTTATTTTGTCGGCTCATTATTTTGAAATGATGATGTTCTTTATATGGATATTATTAATAAATATACTAGAAAAAACAATTGGCCGGTTTATGAACTAAAGCAGGTTGTAAGTTATCATTAATCGTAACTTGCAAGTCATTCTTTTCACAATCGTGTTATCAATTTACCTGTGGTGCTACTGCGTTTCCTAAACGACACATGTACGACTTGAATGTTATATTTGAGATTGTATTTTGATTAGATACTAAGCAATAAGCGTTGTTATAATGAAAATCCAATTAACCTAACATTTGAAAACATGATTATTTTCGCCTGTCTGATATTCGATAACATAAAATTGGTAAAAAAAAAAAAGGTTAAAAAAAGAAAAATATGCCGTAATAGTAAGAAGTGTTATAGTTTTCGCTTAACATATCTGGTGAATATCGATATATCGTTTTCGTTTTCTTGTCGTACCGCTTCTTAGAACTGTTTTGTTTTACTACTTTGTTTTACAGTTTTAGCATATACGTAACTGATAATTAGTAAAGCGATATACTATTTACTATTGCGCGATAAGATTTATCAATCAAATGTGAAATCTATTACAGTAAACACAAAACACGAGAAGTGGAATGAATCTATTTTGATCTCCGATTCTCTAGTTTTATAATACCACAAATTTAATGTCGTTGTGGATTCCACTGAACATATTATAAACATAGACACTAAAAACCTACTTCATTACAGAAATGACGACTACTATTAAACTAAACGTATCTTCTGAATACGTACTCGTATGTAGTTGGGATGACTCAAGTGTAGTCGATCAATAGTGTGAACACATTTCATTTGATAGAAATTTAAACAAGATCCCAAGGCAAACCAAACATTCCTACAATATCCACCTAAATGTGTTATATCCAAATTAATAAATCCATATATTTATTATTTATACAAAAGTATTATGAGATTCCACACGTTAATGTTTAACACGTCAAAGGACCACACACTTTTTGTGTCTAAAATAAAGAAACATACAGCACTTATCCAAGTTTCGAATTTATCTACACACATACATTTAAGTAATTTTAATCTCATAGAAATATTATCAATCAGTTAGTTAATTGGAAGATCGTGTGGACACCTGAAATTGCCAAATCATATTCTTAGGTCAAAGAATTTAACATTATGATGAGAAAGAACAAAATGGCTATAAACGAATAAAAACGAATAGTCTCCATTCCAATAATCAATCAACCACCAAAACTTATATCTAACCAAACCGACACATCGAGGTTTTAATTAAAGAAATATTCACTTTCTTGCCAACACTCAAGATTTTCTCGGAAACCAAAAGAAAAAGGTTGAGAGAGAGAAATAAAAGGAAGAGAGAAAAAAAAAAGTTGGAAAAAGAAAGAAACCGAAGCCCACCCAAAGTCCGCGTCTTCGATTTCTGTTTCTCTACATGAGAGCCACGTCACCTTCAAAAAGGATGTAAATGACGACTAAGCCCATTCACGTTTTTCAATATTCCAATCATATCCTTTCTATACGGCCCAAATGTCTGTCGTTTTGCCTCTTCGCTTTCCTTTTCTTCCTCTCCGACCACCTTCGACGTCGGTTCTTCTTCTTCTCTTTGATCGGAGTTAGTTTCATCGCTCTTCTTAACTGGCGCCGGAAATACGAGCTTCTCGTTCCCTTCGCTACTGCTTCTCGCGTACAGAAGATTCCGGAGCTTCCATCGTTTAGAGAATCCAGCGGAATGGCTTTTGATTTTGCTCTGTGATGGAGAAGACGAGAGCCCTTGGAGATCGTCATCTCTGGAATCTCCACCTCTATTTGATTGATTAGGTGTCCATACACAGTAAGTCTCCGGCGGAACACCGATTAGATCCTCCTCCGCCTCCGAAGACGAATTCGACGTCGGATCTCGGTCCTCGCTCATCAGTTTTCTCAACGCCGGTCGATGACGACGGGGTAGATTACTCTTCGGCGGAGATGGCGTCGGCTGAGATTCTCCACCTTTGCCATATACCGGAGCATTCGCGATTCCACCACCGTACGGGATCAACGGACGGATCTGACCGTTGCAGAAAATCTCGTCGGCGGTAGCGATGGGGTGGGAGAATCTGCGGCTGGGACAGTCGAAGGCGAACTCGAAATCATCGCCGTCGCGGTGGGAATCGGATTGTGGCTCCTGGTCTCTGAATTCCTCGACGACGCGGGCTGCGATGGCGGCGAGGTCTACGGCGGAGGAAAAACTGCCGAAACTCGGAGAGTTGGAGGAAACGGAGAGTAACCGACTCGCCTGCATTTTAGAAAGTTGTTGCAGAGTTTTCTGAACTGAAACGCTTAGAGAGGGAGAGAGAGACAAATAAAGATTGTACGCTTCGAAAGTTGGGCCCCGTCGACTATATATACGGGAAAATCGTTGTATTTTCACTCACGGAGAAAAAACAAATTTTAATGATTACATTACGAAGATTATTAGTTATTTTAATCAAGGAGCCAAAAATGTAAGGTATTAAATCAAATATCATGATCTAACAAGGAGCGTAATGAACATAAACCACTAACTAAGGATGTCAAATAAACTAATCCAACCACAAACGCTTAAGCTTAACATAAGTCTCCACCTTATCTTTTAAACGGTCAATAAATTATCTCCAAGTAATTATAAAAATATATACTGTACACGAAAAGAAATGTTTTACTTATCTTCTCCGATGTCACGTTTGATCACCATCAAATCAGTGATAAACTTATCTACAATGTTTGCATTCTACGTATATATTGAATATTCAAATGTGAATGATGTCACAGAAATGACGAATGTAAACGTTGGTTAGGGAAGTCTTGGTCAGTATTAAAAGGTAAAATGTAGAGTATTTATCCATTGATAGTGAATGGCGACAAGTCAAAGGAATAAATCTTCTGTCCTAGATTCCAAAACTTAGCTTCGCATGTATATATTTTTTAAATGTTTTGTTTTCAAAACTATTACTAATATACGAAAAAACATCTTCTTCAGCTTATAGGATGCATTAAACAAAAAGTCTTTGTAAATACAAGCTTGTGGATCGTGTGATATAAACAAAAAAAAAACTTCTTAAGAAGGTAAAAGACTAACAGCCGTAAAACTACTATCTTTTTGAGAAGTCTTTTATATATTTTCTCAATTTCATACAAGATTGATGTTTCAAATTTTTGTCTTTTGATCGATGCATTGTAAAATTAACATACAACATTATCAGATGAAACTTTAATTAATAATCTTATGAGAAAATATTTTTCTTTGTCAACGACAATGGATAGTTCAATTTATTTGGGTAAAAAGTTCAACTGGATTGTATGTGAATGCAACTTTTAACTTCTAGTTGGGCCTTCTCGTATGGACTCACATAATGGGACTTAGTGTAAACGGGCCTCACCGATGCATTTCTCATTGTGGGACGCGGTAAAATAATTATTAACTTTATAATCTATCCTTTTTTCTCCGCTGTTTAAGAAATCAGTCACTTGAAATATTATAATTCAGAGCAAAGTCAAGTTACAGTTAGAAGTTTTGGTTTTCAGCTTCTCGGAAAACATTAGTTCTCTTCTCTTCCCCACCTTTCCATCAATTTCACCGCATAAACCCTAATTTAGATTTTAGGGTCCCTCTTAAACACTCTTGCAAATCTCCAAGCTCCTCTTTGACAAAACTTCATCAGCAACAATGGATAATAATTTCGGGAACTATCATCATCATCAATGGCGTCCAGGACCAACACAGCCAAACTTGTGCCCGGTTTGTACGGCGCCGCACTTCCCTTTCTGCCCACCGTATCTTCCATCTTCCTTCCAGCAGACTCCTAGCTTCCCTCCTCACCTCAACTTACCTCGTCCTGGATTCGACTCGTTCACCGGACCACCGGTTCGACCGCAAAACCACTATCCGCTCGGTGATCCAAGACCGTGGTTAGCTCACCACGGTAATCAATGGCGACCGGTTTCTGACTATCGCAGCGCTGTTGATTGTGATAGGGAAGCTGATCGGAGCTATAAGAGAGCTCGGATTGATGCGATCGGCGGTGGTTCTCCCGGTTATGTTGTTTCTGGGAGCGATGGATTTCAGAGTCCTCAGATCTCATGGGAGAACGAACGGAGGCTGAAGATGGTTAGAGATCATGGTTACGGTTTATCTGCGCCGTCTCCGGGAAATCTCGATGATTCCAATCTCAAGATGAATCATCACTATCCGATGAGCGAATTTAGGAATGGCGGTCAACTTAATGGTGTAGCTCCTCCTCCGCCTCCGCTTCATCATCCGCCGCTGCCACCGGCGTCGTACGGAGGCTATTTTGGCGGTCCTAATGGTCAGCCTCCTCTTCCGGTTTCGCCACCACCGCCTTTGCCTCCATCTAATCCTTCTTCTCTGTTTCCTTTCACCGCTAATTCCTCTGCAACGGTCTCTCCACCGCCATCATCATATCCTCAAATGCCAAATGCTTCGGTAATGTTGCTCTCGTGATTTCGTTCTTACCTCGAAAGTATCTTGGTTTTTTCTGTACTGATGATTTCTTATCGTTTGGTAGCCATCTTCTACACAATTAGCACCAACTCGGTCTAAAGTGATGGATGTGTCCCATTTGCTCAAGCCTCCTCATCGGTCTACTCGCCCTGATCATTTTGTAATTATCCTTCGAGGACTACCAGGTTGTTTTTCGAGCCTTCTCTTAGCTCTTTTGGTGGACTTGTTGCATGATTTCAGTTCTTAGCGTAGGCTCTTGCTTCTTGGTTTATCTCTTAGTTTGTTCAAGCTCATGAATATCACCTTCACTTGTTTTTGCATTTAGAGTGTAGGTGTTACTGAGTAATAACTCCATTTGTATATAATTATATATATGAAGGTAGTGGGAAGAGTTATTTAGCAAAGTTATTGCGTGACATCGAGGTAGAAAATGGCGGTAGTGCTCCGCGAATCCATTCTATGGATGATTACTTCATGGCTGAAGTTGAGAAGGTTAATCAATCCTCATTATTCTTCTTAAAAGTGTGAACTCTTTACCTGGGACTATCAAAGTTATTCTAAGATTGTTTTGCTCTATCAATGTAAAAGGTTGAGGAGAGTGATTCAGCTTCTTCAAGATCTGGTCGAAGCAAGAGACCTATTGTAAAAAAGGTCATGGAATACTGCTACGAACCTGAGATGGAAGAAGTACTTTTTCAGAACATATATTTCTAGATAAATGAAACATGAATATAAACCATGACTTTATTTTTCTTTTCTTAAGTTTCTTGGCACTCTTGAATTCTCAGGCGTATCGTTCAAGCATGCTGAAAGCTTTTAAGAGGACTCTAGAAGATGGGGCTTTCAGCTTTGTAATCGGTAATTATTTTTCCCGTAACTGCATACTAGGATGTATGACTATATCTCACTTTAGAAATTTTTATTTCCTTGCAAAAGGTAATTGGTATCTGTGATCTGATGACATTATCTCTTTTGGTTTGATTATGTTGACATGATGGCTACTACGTTTATTTTTGAGAAAACATTTCATATAATATGGTTTCCTTAGTTCCTTAGTTCAAAGAACTTAATATCCTCACAGCAGCTCTCTTGTCTGATCAAGGTATAGGGGTAATATATATTTCAAGGTGTAAGATTTTCATTTAGGGATCCTATTCATCTAGTTTAGCTAGGAACTGGGTGGTGCAGTGTCCAAGCACTACTTTCATTTTCTCTAACCACGAATGCAGTTTGTTTTCTGGAATTGACCGTTTCTTGCTGGTATGTGTCGCTCATCTTAGTGGATGACCGCAATCTGCGGGTAGCTGATTTTGCTCAGTTTTGGGCAACAGCAAAGGTATATCCTCACTTCTTTCTGTATTACCTTGTGGAGAGTAGATGTTGTTTTTGCGGATTCTATGGAAGACTCATTATGATTTGTGAAGTCATCTAGCTTCTTAAGTGCTTAGTTATTCTTGGTTTCTCAAGTGTCTAAATAGTTTAGTGTGCATTAAACGTTACTCTAACTTGTTTTTATACGTAATGTTTTCTAGTAAGTTGACGTTTCTGTCAATAGATTAGTTATCTGAAACAATTTCAGAATCAGCTAATGCTCCGTCAAATTTTGAAGTAACCTTGCATTTCCCTAGAAAAGATGTCTATTCTTTCTCTCCCTCTCTATCCTTCCCGCTCTTTCCTTTAAAACCTCCTGGTTGTGTGTGTATCATCGAAGAAGATATTGACGTGAAGAAGCTTCCAAGTTCTTACAACTCCTTTCTCCCTTATGATTGCTAATTCCCTCTTTAACAAGATGGGAGTCATTATTTTGTTAGTGACTGTCTGTACTATTCATGGTTTTATTTCACCTGCAAGTTGGAGTTGTTGTTTATTTATTTATCTGCTTGCTTCATGTTGTTTGCCAAACATCATGCAACCAACTTTATGTGAAGTTGCCATTCTTTTTTAATTTCCGTAGCCATGTACGTTCAGTGATCAATAGATACTCTGGATTTTGTCCTTTCCTATTCATTTATAAACAAATAGTGGTACTGTTTGCTTGATGGCTTCTTGACCAGCTGAAAACTAGTATGATTCAAATAAAAGGCTTTGAATGCGAGAATTCCTGTTTTGCTCAAATTCAGTTTGTTTCAGTCTTCATTTGCCTCGCTTTTGGACAGTGACTGGTGGCTTTAATATTTACCCGAAATATAGATGCCGATTTCTGAGTATGATTGGATGCTTGTAGTAAATGTTGCACCTTGAATTGTTACCTGTAACATTTGAAACGAGGTCAACTAAATCATGATCCTCGTCTAGTACAGAAAGTGAAAGCTTTTATCTTGATCGTAGTTTGGAAGTTTTCTTGACATTCTGTTTCTTGTGCAGAGATCTGGATATGAAGCTTACATAATGGAAGCGACATACAAGGACCCAACTGTGAGTTTCGGCATATTTTTTACTGTCCGATAACTTAGAAATTGTATCCCAGCTTGTATAAATGGGCGCACTATAAGAGCATTATCATATTTGAATAGAATGCCATTCACATTTCTTGCTGTGCTAAGTGGGTGGGTAATTGCAGGGCTGTGCAGCAAGAAATGTACATGGCATCACACTAGATCAGGTACAGCAGATGGCAGAACAATGGGAAGAAGCTCCATCATTGTACATGCAACTGGATATCAAGGTTTTTCTGCCATTCATTTTTTATTTATTTTTGGAACGTTTGAACTCTGAAGGAAATTCAGCATGGGTTTTATACAGCAAAATTTGGGACTTTAAACAATACCAATCTCATGTTCTTGCATTTTTTAACAATATCTAACAGTCTTCTTTTTCTGTGATAGTCTTTTACGCGGTGGGATGACCTGAAAGAGAGTGGAATCGAGGAGGTAATAGAATAAATTATTTTATATACCCTCTCTGTTCTTTAGTTGACAAGGGTTCAGAGAAACCTTGTTTTTGATCGTTGTTTCAATCTTGGGCCTTGATTAGTTTATTATATGATCCCACCTAATAACTTGTCATAAAAAATTACTCTAGGTGGATATGGACATGGAAGATGATTTTGGACTGCCAGAAAGAAAAGATGATAACAGCTCCCAGTCAGAAGTGAAGGGTGCGACAGAAGGTAAAATTTAAATGCGGCCTTAATACTTGCCAAGACAAACCGAAAACACTTAGATGAGTCTTTCTTTTGATATTGTCGTAGGCTCTTACATAAATGAGAGTAAATGGGAAGCAGAACCTAGCACCCATACAGAAAAAGTGAAAGAACTAAGCAGAAGTAAATGGTCAAACGTAGAGGAAGACGACGAAACAGAGAAATCTCAAAGCACAGGAAGAAACTCAAAATCCCTTTCCAGGTCAAGCCAAGAACGGTTGCGGAAAGGCAAAACTGTTTGGTGGGGCGACAAGGTATAAACAAAACACTCTTTGCTTCTACATTTCGACTGTAGAAACATGTTTATCTTGTGGAAAATCTCTTGCATTTGTATCTGCGGATAGGGTGGAGACGCAGGTTTTTCAATTGGTGCTGCGAGGAATATGAGCATGCCTTCTTTAGTTATAGGTCCTGGATCAGGATACAACTTGGTAAGCAAACGAAGAAAAAAAGAAATGGGTGTCTTCTTGGTCTTATTACTGTATGTATCTTTTTTTTAATATATATATTTCGTCATGGGTTTAATGCAGAAATCGAATCCGCTATCACGAGAAGAGAGTCTTGCACTGGCTGATGCTATTGGAAAAGCAAAGGTAAGAGGAATTTTCCAGGATCAGCTTAGAGCAGAGCGTGAGTCTTTTAAAGCGGTTTTTGATAAGAGACATGTACGAATCCCTACGTCTTACAATTCAAAGGACGACTAAGTGTATGATGCATTTTTTCCTCTGGGAAACCCCAAAGTTTATTTCCCACTTTGACATTCACATCAACCAATAGAATTGAGAGAAACATGGGTTGGGGGGGTTTAAACTATTATTATCCCTTGTTCTGTGTTCGTATGAATTTTAATGTTCTTTTAATAAAAAAACATTGGGATTATGAATTTCCCCACTTGATTATTTGTGTATCATTTCATTTGTAAAAAAGTTTTTCACAAATTCAAAATTAAAATGCTAATTTCGCACCAAGTAATAATTCTACTTAACAATATTAATTTGGAGTCTATAGAACTAAAGCCACCAAGATTACCCAATGGTTTCCATCGTAAGAGAAAGCAACCAAGAACTTGAAGTACGCGCTTACAATAACTATTAATTTGTATATTATTTACAGTTTTAAAATCGTGCCACTGTGAAAACTATAATGAGGATCGGAACTCTACGGATGAGCTTAAAAGATTCTATCATTCCACAAACCATAAATTCTAAAGATAGAAAACCTCGGAACATACGAAAGTCCATATTTCTCGTTATACAAGTGATTTCTACGGATGTGATTATTACATGTCTAAAGTTAGCTGAAGATCCTTTTGTAATATAAAGGGTGATTCTTAGTTCAAAAGAAATATGTAAGAAACAAATTTAGATTTAAACACTATCTAAGAAACAAAAAAACGTTAAAGAAAAATGGGAGAAACAGAAGACAAGATAGTGAAGAATCATGGTGATAACGAAGAGAAACACAACAAGGCTGAGAAAACAGAGGAGAAAGAGAAGAAGAAGGATAAAGATAAGAAGGATAAGCACGAGGACGATAAAAATGGAGGAGGAGGAGAAGAAGGCGAAGATCAAGAGAAGAAAAGCAAGAAGAAAGATAAGAAGACGAAGAAAGAGAAGAACCCTGAAGATAAAAAAGATCCAGAGAAGTTGAAGTTGAAACTTAAGAAGATTGAAGACAAGATTCAAGCTATGGTCTTAAAGAAAGATGAGATCGTGAAGCTTATTCATGACGCAGAACAAGGTAAGACGACTACTTCAGTGGATGCACCACCACCTACTAACTAACTAATTCAAATGCAAAACTAAAGTTTCAAGTTAACCCCATAATTTTGTATCTATATATTTATCACTCCGTTCAATAAGAAGTACTGATGAATGTTGTTTTCAGCGTATTTTGGTAGGCTTTTTGTTTTTGTTCATACCAATCAGAGTTGCCTGTTTGATTTTACGTGTTGTAAATTGTACAAAAACCATGTGTTTTTCTATGTAATACTTTTAAGCTTACTATTTTTTTGGTCATTCTGATTTTTACCACATTGGAAGGACTATAAAGTTTAGGTGTTTGGACGTTGGCTGGATTTGTAGCACATTTTGTTTTCCTCATTTTTTTCTTAGTGACTGGTAAAATAACTTAGGGATATAGAGTAATTATGATTTTTTTGACTTCAGACTTTTACTCTAAATTTGTTAACCAGTCAGGCCCTTAATTCCGAGGATATTGGGTTGAAATATTGAAGAATACTGAGGGGCCAGATGGTAAATTAGTTTTTCCACCATGAAAGTGGAAACAAGCACTGAAGCACATGTCTGCTAACCAAAAAAGGCTGAATTTACTTCTTCTAGCAACTAGGATCATTTGTTATTACGTATAGGAGGTTCAGGTGGCATATAATTCACACATCACCATCTTATGACTATTACAGAATTATTTCATATTATATAAAATTAACCATGTGAAAAGGCTTGTCTGTTTAAGATGAATTATTGAGATCCTAAATATAAAAAGGCCCTGCGAAACTTATGACAATGTCAATGTCTACTTGCCACTACAAGGAAATGCCACTAATTTCGTGTAGGTGAAGGAAATTTCCTGCGAAATTTCATCAACCTATCTGAGTGTGAAACAAAACATCTTTAACAGACAACTTAACATTTTCGACCAAAAAAAAAAAAAAATCTTTAACAGACAACATTATTATTAATCATTACCTCACCAATGCGAATAGTAACACCTTCAAATAAACAAAACACCAGAATTTAGTTATTCTTAATGGCGGTGAAATTACTTGGAGCAGTTTGCATTTACGGCGTTAATGTTAATAACGTTGGTTGTATTATTGGCGTTAAATATTATTACTAGCAAATTCTAAACACAAACAAAACTAATGTTGAACAGCATTAGTGTGGATATTAATTGACGCGTGTAATGCTAACGTGAATGGTGCACAATTTGACATCAAAACCATTCACGTTCTCAACATGTACACCATTCAAAGCCGAATTCATCTTTGACTTCTCCTTTACTCTTTGATTTCTTTAGAAAATCGATCTACATTGACCAAGCTTTCCTCTTTGACCCTTTCCTCTTTGATTTCTGTAGAAAATCGAACTACATTGACCGGAAAAATAAAGAAAAAAAAAAAATACTTATGTTACTAGCATCCGTTTTCATTCAATAATCCATACAAATTGTTTGATCTCTTTTTAGCTTATAACTTAAACTCTTTATTTGATGCTACTTACGATTTTGGTTGTAAACCCAAATATGTCTATACAGCAAGGGGAAAAAATCCAAAAAAAAAGCAAAAAAAAGCAAAACAAGATTCACTGTAATCGAATAGAGAATGAAAAAAAACCATCATAAGATCTTAATCACACACCATAAGCTGAGTAAAAGAAAGAGAACATAGAAAGTCCATCCACTTCAAGACTGGTCTGCGAAAGAGCCTTGAAGGAGACCGTCTCTGATCTGAGTAGCCACATCGCGAACAGCTCCTGGTCCGTGCGGAATGAACACAGCAGAAGATTTGGAACTTGCACCAATCTCCTTCATTGTGTCAAAGTATTGTGTAACAAGCACCATGTCCATCACATCTTTAGCAGTTGTCCCTGGGACGTTCACAGAGAAACCCAAGACACTGTCTCGTAGTCCATCTACAATCGCTTGTCTCTGACGAGCAATACCTAGACCCGAGAGGTACTTGGCCTCAGCTTCACCTTCAGCTCGCTTTATCTGCAAGATTTTCTCAGCCTCTGCCTTTTCATTTGCAGCCAGTCTCATCCTTGCAGCTATAAACAAGAAGCAGAAACTCAGATACAAGAAAGAAGAGTAAGTCAAAGAACTATATAAATGATGATATGGGAAGTCTTGTTTACCAGCGTTGATTTCGTTCATGGCACGTTTGACATGTTCGTCAGGCTCGATATCAACAATGAGAGTTTGGACAATCTCAAAACCGTAAGCCGACATTGCCTGCAAGTGACAGAGAAACAACAAAAGTGAACATTCATAAGCAGCCAATACTAAAAGAGACCAATATACAACAATGATTTCTATTACCTTCTCGAGCTCTTCTTCAACAGCTTTTGCAATTTCATCCTTCTGCTCAAAGACATCATCCAGAAGCAGCTTGGGGACACTTGCTCTAATGACTGGTAACAAAAAAAAGACAAAAAAAAAACTCAGAACGATCAGTTTCTTAAACACATTCACTTTCTAAATCACGTATTTCTTTAAAAAATTGACACTTACCATCAAACACGTAAGCTTGAATTTGGCCTTTAGTGTTACTGAGTTTGTAGAAAGCATCATTGGCCTGATTGGCAATAGCACGGTATTGAATCGATGCAACAACATTAACAAACACATTGTCCTGCAAAAAGACACCAAAGAAGGAACTGGATCAAGTACTAAACAGAAAGAGAATCCTAAAACAGAGAGTAATTAAAAAAAACAAACCTTTGTCTTTGTCTCGCAACGAACATCCAATTGTTGAAGCCTCAAAGAGAGGTAACCAGCAACTTGGCTACCAAGACACCATGGAAGAAAATGGCAACCAGGCTCAAGAACATCTTCGAATTTCCCGAACGTTTCTTTTATCGCTACCGTTGATTGGTCCACTTGTACACAACAAAATAGATTTCCCATCTTCTTCACACCCTATAAAGAAGAAAAAAATCAACCTTTTTCATGGAAAATTCATGACAAAATACTAAGCTCGGAGCTAATAAATCAACATGAAATTAGCCAATGATTTTACCCAGAACCCAAAGAAATATACTTTACTGGAAAACTTTTAGAGAAGATCGCTTTCGATTATTTCTACCTCTCGATCTAATCTCGCGAGCACCAAAGAGAGAGAAAAAAAACACTCACATATGTCAGAAATCCTTCTCGGAGAATTAAAATTCCCAATCAAAATTAGAATTCTAAAGATTTCACGTTTTAGTCAGATTATTTTTAAAGAGATTTCAGACAAACTTTACTTGATAAACCCAAAAACCGGGTGTAAAAACATGAAAGAGAACCGAGAAAGTTAGAACCCTAAAAAAGAAAAACGAAAAAAGATCAAAGAAATTTTAGGGTTTACCGAAATTTATCCTGTTTGCTTTCAGATTTCTGAGAATGTTTGCAAGTAAGAGAATGTGAGCGAGCTAAGTTTTAATATCTTTCTATATTTGACTGGGCAGAGAAGATATTTATGTACAAGAAAAGACTACGCTAGTCTTTCAACTATTTCTAATTGTTACCCCTTATCTATTCTAGTTTTACACAAAAGGCTAGTTTAAGTTCAATTTGTTCGAGAAAACCCAGGGACTCTTGCCGAAATAATATGCAATTAATTTTCTGTAGTTCTTATCTAGATGAAAAAAAAACTAATTGTTTCCTTTTTAAAACTCTTTTCTGTTATATCTGTGACAAATATATATACATAGGATTTAAATTAAGAGATCAGCTGTTTTTTTCTTCTTTTTTTGCAAAGAGATGAGTTGTTGAGTCGGTTAGATTGATGTATCAAATAATATTCCAAATAATATATCTTAAAAGAATGGTTAATCAAATAAAAAATTATATCAAAAACTTAAAAAAAAAGAAGAATGGTCTTACGGATTATTTTTCAATTTCTTCAGTAATTATCCAAATCAAGCTTCATTACAATCTTCGTTCAAAAATAAATAAAAAGGAAGAAAAAAGTTTAATTACAACCTTAACTCCTACGTGATAACAATTATCTCTATGGGTGGAACTATTATCTGTGACAAGTATATACATTTATTACATATATATATATAATAGTTCCAGATAATAGTTTCACCCCATAGAGATAATTGTGAATCTTTTGGTTGCACGCTTAGTTTAGTTACATGATCGATTTGAATCAAGAAGATAGAACTTTTATTATTTTCAGAGGTTTTTTTTTTTAATTGTATGAAACGCTTATAGGTGGTAATCCTGAAGGATTTTCACAAGAATAGAATCATATTAACATTCCATACGTGATTGTTTCATTATTTTGTTAGTTTCATCTTGTAATTTTTATAAACAAAAAAAACATCTTGTATTATCACTAGTCTTCGTCAACGTTTACAAAATCATATAACAAACAATGGGAGATGCCTCTTTTTGATAATGACCCGTGTGAAATAAATCATCTTGGAAGATAAAAAATACGAAAGTGATGCCTCTGTTTGATAATGACCCGTTTATATGCAACTTGATTCTCCTCACAACTAATAATACGAAAATTTTATTTACGAGAAACGATTTGTCCATAGCCTCCACCTATATTTCCTGTGACCTGTCAACAGATTGTTCAGTTTCTTACAACCCCGCCCCTTCCATTATAAATCTTATGTGGATCCTTTAGCACAGGGAAAAAACCTTAAAAATACCCGAAGTCTTAAACATTTGTTAGAAGAATACCTGATTTATTTTGGCTTCCCAAAAAATACCCAACTTATTTTTGAGTGTTGATTTAATTTCCATACATTCAAAAACTGCTATTTTCACTCCCCGTTTTTAATTCCGTTTATCCGTTAAACGGAAACACTAAAACGGTGTTAAAAATTTAACACCACGTGTTATTATTGTAGGTGAAAAGACCAAATATAACCCTTGCTCGTCTTCTCTCATGTTCTTCCCCAAAAATCGATTTTCCCCAAATTAAATCCTAATTCGATTTTCTCCTAAATCAAACCTTAAATCGATTGTTCCCCAAATCAAAGCCAAAAGCAAGGTAAATTGAAATACCCAAAATCGATTTTCTCTCACGAAATTGATCTTCTTCCTCGAAGTCGAACTTCGTTCTCACGGTGACTTCGTTTAGCTATATGAGACGAAGATTTTTGAGAGTCGGAGGATGAGATCAGGTATAGAAATTTATAAAATTGGGCTGTATACTCTGGTTATGTGTGTCGATTATGAAGTTTGGTTTGTTAGTATATCAATTTTCTTCTTTGATAGAATATGAGATTTTTGAGTGACATCTCATATTTATCTTTCGATAATGCAGCGTTACCATAAAAATCAATTTGGAGGGCTTATGTACATCAACTATTCTCAGGGTGTAAACAGGAGAATTTGTGAAGAAGGGATTACAGTCGATCCAGATTTTGTGACTTGGAGCATCTTCGATTTGTGAAAAACATAACTTAAGAGTGTGATGAAATCGACAGAGTGGATGAGAAGTGTTACGATGAGTGAAAGAAGCTAAATTGCGAACACACCACATAGAGAAGAGAATAAAAGTGAAGAAAGAAAAATAGAATTAGAGTTCTTCAATTTGGGAAACACTAAATATCTGTTGAATCAATTTTGAATGGGTAATAGAGGTCTTTTCACATACAATTAACACACGTGGTGTTAAATTTTTAACAGTGTTCAAGAATTTCCGTTTAGCTGATAAACAGAGGTAAAAATGGGAAGTAAAAATAGCAGTTTTTGAATGTATGGGAATTAAAACGACACTCCAAAATATGTTGGATATTTTTTGGGAAGTCAAAATAGGTCATGTATTTTTCTGACAAATGTTTAAGACTTTGGGTATTTTTAAGGTTTTTTCCCTTAGCACATAAACTGATTGCAGCCCATTTTCATTCCAATTATATTACTTACCAAAAAGTTGATTACATGCAAACTTTCTAAGCCATTTGATCAATCATCTTTTCTTAAGCTGAAACTTTCTTTATTCAAAAGTGATCATTTTCGAAATCAGTTCAAAATTGTGTATATTTGAGCATATTTGCTACCATGCTTATTGATTAGAAAACAATTGAATTTCAAGTACTAACAAATCAGCAGCTTTTTACAGATTTACGTTGTACCGTAGCATTTGATAAACACAGCAGATACAATTATTTTCTAAAGTTGTGTTGAATGTCATGGGATATTAAATATAAAATCAAAATAAGAATAATAATAATAATATGTCATTACAATTATATTAATGGCATATCCGTGGAAAACATAGGATTATGCTACTTAACCTTATAACCGAAATCGTAAAAATTAACCAGTCTAGCATCATATATAGTAACTTATTCCCTAAAACACTAGACATTTGCTAATCGATCATTAACAGACAACAAATTACCCTACAACAAGCTCAATGCAATTATATTATATATCGGATCTAGCCTTGGTTGGACCGGTACGCATAGCGGGTAGCCCAAAAGAGATAATGCAAGAAATTAATCCCACTAAGCACACACATGAGCCAGTAAAATCTCTCGAGATGGTACTCGTTTAGATTCTTCCCCAAAAGCCATGGAGTGTGTTGGTTTAAGCCTGTGGCAAAATTAACAGCCGATACGAGAACAGAGCTCATATAATAACCCATCGCAAGAGACGTCCAAGAGAGCGAGGTCGCAAGGGAACGCATCCTAAAAGGAGCTTCGGTGAAGAAAAACTCCATCATACCGGCTAAAGTGAAGAGATCGGCTGATCCAAGAAACACATATTGCAGAGCTATCCAAAGAAACGTTATAGGAAGCGACGAAGAAGAATCAGAAGAATAAGCGTTGTTGCTTGAGCAGCAAGTAACCTCTGCAACGACGAGCTTACGTTTGGTTTCTACTAAAGCTGCAACAGCCATTGCGACTATAGAAAGGAAAAGCCCTGTTCCGATGCGTTGAAGATGAGTTACGCCGGTTTCGGTTTTGGTTGTTTTTCTAGCGAGAGGAAGGAGGAGGTGGTTGTAGGTAGGAGCTAAGATCATTGTGAAGACGACTGGGAAAACCGGTAATGCCGCAGGTGGGACGGTTAATGACCCGAGCTTCGTGTTCATTGTCGAAGCTTGTTGGACGGAAAACGTCGAGAGCTGAGCTAAACAGCAGTTAAGCATTATGGTAGACATGAAAATTGGTAAAATCTTGATGACTATCTTCACGTCTTCTACTTGTTCCTCCGTGCAATGGAGCAGTCTAGGTAGCGATTCACGCTCTCTCACAGCTTCACCGAGGAACGATCCAAGAATTCCGTCATCTCCGTCGTCATTTCGCTTGTCTACGTTTACATCACAATCGTTTCTTGATTGACACGTCACAACGTTTCTTGAAGTTTTCCTCTTAGACCTAGCGTAGAAAGCAGCGGTCAAGACCTTGAATAGAGTCGTGATGGGACTTCCACTAGGAACCTTGAGGCGATAAAAGCGAGAACCGGCCAAGAAAATCGGAACCGAGATCAAGATAGCGGCTGTGGAAACACCGAACCCATAAGACCAGCCTTTGTTGTCTTCGAGCCAGACCACGACCGTGACGGCTATTAAGGCACCACACGAGAGGCTAAAGATGAAGTAGTTGAAGAAGAAGGATCTTTGTCTCCTCCCATTCGGTGTTGTTTCGTCAAACTGTTCCGCTCCGTGAGGTGGCAACGAGCCTTTTATACCTCCGACACCGAGAGCTACCAAGTATAGACCCACGAATAGAACTACACGAGCCCATGGCTCGGTGGAGTGCTCGTGGGCTTGGACCGTTAGTACCAATAACCCCTGAATGGTTCACAAATTAGTGTTTAAATCGAAATATTTTAAATTCCAGTGTTCAAGGGTTATTAATATTGCACAACATATTTTGTTAGTATTAGTATAAAATACACTGCCGAATTTGATTCCGAGTATTAGTACAAAAACCATTTAAGCTAAAAGTCCCGGTACAAAACTATTTTAGTTTCAGAGTTCGAAGTTTTGCATAATTTGACCATCCAGATAATGAGATTAAATACTCGAAAGTGTCTACTTTTTCATCCACATTTAATATCTTGATAAAGTTCTTGCCTGAAGTCCATTTCGCATGACCTGGTGTTAAGGTAGAGCCGTAGAGATTTATATATATATATATATATATCTATTTTAAATAATTTTCTTTTCTTTTAATTAAATTAATAAATGATGAGCATAATTATCTACGTGGTTGACATTAATTATAGAATATTACCAAGAATTCGATGGCGGCGCTGACTAGATAGATATGGAACGTGGAGAAGAAAGCATCTGCCAAGAATCCTCCGAGAAGTGCCAAGAAAAACGCAGTTCCCATGAAAGTGGTTACTGCGTTTGCGGCTCCTGACGGCGATAATCCCATCTTTGTCGATAGATACAACACTAGATTGCTCGCGTTTGCTAAGAACGCAAGGTTCTCCAACACTTCCACAACTATAAATAATATCATCCGCATTAATTCAATACTCCTTTTAAAATAAATGTATGTTCTGAATGAATTTACGTTGTATGTAATAATATAGGCTAATAATATAAACAAATAATTTATGATCAGTTATTTAGAATGACTGACCCAAGACGAAAGAGGCCGCAAGCATACCGCCATGGCAGCCACGCAAAGCTGGTCTATTTCGCCAATCTACGTATCCATTCCACGCGCTTAACCCATTTGCTTCATCCTACACATATATTCACACAACAAAAAAAGTTGTCAAAATTAGCAATACTTATTGCAAATGCTAGCTTACACTAGGTGAAATTTTAGTTGGAATTTGAAAGAAATCGAGCTCACCATTTGTTGAAGCTCAAGAGACATGATTACTAAGAAACAGCTGTTTTGGAGAATGAAAGTTGAGTATATGATTAATGGCAATAGTATGTAGACATTATTTATAGAGAGAGAGAGTGTGTGGAAGTTAAGGGGGAAAGTTTTGGTGTGTGGGTTATTACAAACAAGCGAAAACTCTAGAGACTAAACGTACAACTTCAAAAACAAAAACAAAGGGTTGTTACTGTCTTTGATGTTGACTCTTTCTGTATTTGCTCTGTTTCTTTCCTCGTTAACAAGGCACCGTACATATCCTAGAAGTTAACTTTAGCCGATTTCTTAGCTCATTTGGTTTACGAAATTGAATCAAAGACGCAATTGCTTAACCAGTTAAATGTAGCTTTTTGTTCGGCTTTTTGAAGATATAAACAATTTTCTTTTGTCGAATGTCATCGTATCTCTACGAAAATTGAAAAGTTGAATTGGGTTTGTTATTGGAGAATCCTAAATTTTAAACCAGTTAATACTATATCGGTTTGATAGTGAAGGATCGTGTTGTAGAAGAGGCGGTGACCGGTGAGAACGACTCGATATCCATTTCTCAAATCTTATTGGTTCAAGCGCCAAAATAGAAAGTTGGCTGTATTATTATTATAAATACTGAAAGAACAATTGATATGAATATGTCATATGCAAGTTGTCTACAACATTTAACTCTTGTGATAACGATGTTCAATTGTTTCATTTTTTTTTAACCTAATAGTATTTCCTATACCGCATGATTGGCAACTTTTTATGATTACGAGTGAATTAACAGTGCGAATCGATACGAAGTAAATTGAACCAAAATGAATCTTAATAAGATTTTCGGTTTAGCTTGGTAATTTTTTTCTTAAACTACCATTTTCTGGCCATAAAGAACCATAGTTATTGGAATTAACTTCCTCTCTTGGAACGTTGTAGTTTTGCATTATAGATATGTGCAAAAGACAAGGTGTTATGCTTTGGTAATTATGATTCCCCATGAGGTTGGCTATATATCATATATTTTCGGGCCACCACCACTACTACTACTACTACTACAACAACCACACTCCATTCTTCATAAAACGCTTTCTGTGGATGAGAGAGATTTTCAGGAGCACATTTTTATCAATCCGTACGACAATAAAATAATAACCATCTCTTCTTCTACAATCATCCAATTTTGGTGGTTGTCTAGTTCTTCCCGCAATTTTCAAAAGGCCCCACCTTTTTTTTTAACCCATTCAATTCTATAATCTAGACGTTACTACAACGCTGTGGAACTCGTAGCTAGCTGGTCGTCTTTGGGCAATTATATGAAGACGCTTGAGAAAGTTGAACTGAATTCGAATTATTCATGAAGTATAAATAAAGACGTTTAGGGTTCATGAAATATTTAAATGATTTTAATTGGATCTATGAAATATAAATAATATCTGAAAGGCCATATTGATATTTTTTAATATATATATGTGGAAGTTAGCTTACACAATTCAACTTTCCACCAACTCCATATTCTTTCATTAAGTTATAATCATTTGGAGTTAAAAGACTGACACATACATCCATCAATTGGATATCTGCATTTTTTTTTTTGTTAATTACGGTAGATTAGTAGTGGCCAGTTCGTTGATGAATTGAAGGAGTTTTGGAATCAAACCAAAATAAATGAGACGAGCTAAAGATATTTTATGATTCATTTGCGTATATTTATGGAAAATATCGTATATGTTGTTTTTTCATACAGAATTACAGATAATGTGAACTCAATTAAGTACGTAGTGGAATACGATAACGAAAATAAAAATGAACATGTATTATAAATTTTCCCAAACAAGGCTTTCATATCCTTATTTAGAAACTCAACCTCGCCACGATAGCCGTCCAAACATATGCAAAATAGTCCATCACTAATTAAGACTCTAAAAATGATATATATATTATACTTTTATTATATAGTATTTAAGTACGGATTTCCAAACTATATGTAATGTAGTTTTGGTTCTACCCGCCAAATATCTCAAGTTTTACAGCAACAAACAAAATACTCAGTTTAAACCTCACACGGGCAAAATTGTAATACTTTTATGTAAAAGAGTGGAATAAAGTACAATTGTTTTCATTTGGATTTTTTTCTTGAACCAAATAATTTCAATTTATTCGCATAATCTTAGTTTATAACGGAAGCAAAGGAAACAAACAACATGTACTTTGTGAAGTGTTAGTTATTTCAGACACACGAAAAAGAAGAAGCAAAAACAAGAGAGCTACATACATTGAATGAACGTATTTGTATAGTCATTTACATACGTTCAAGTGTATACATGAATCAAATATCTTCACAAGATTTCCATCAATGTTCTGTATTTATACATTATTATATATATCGCTCGATCGTACATGTCCATTGATGATTCATCAAAATTTTATGTTCTCTTTTAAGTAACATACGATCGTTTGCTGCAAAGAGAAAAGCAATTGAATCATATTAGTACTTAATCACCTTCAACCTTATAACCAAAAAATGTACCATGAAACCTTGTCTTGGTTAATTACAAAATAAAAGTACAAAGTTAGAGAATGGAGAAAACTTACGAGAAGGCAGAGAATGACACAAGCGGCTGCACCGGGGAACAATGCGTACCAGAAATTCAAGTGATGGAACTTTGCTCCATCTATGAACATTAGTGGTAAGCTCGCCGCTGTAATTTTTGTTTATTTGTCAATCAAATGAATTAAAAGAAAACAATCGACATTCTCTTTCACAATCTGTAAATTAGTTCAAACAGAAAAAATGGCTTTTCTCATAATTTTTTAAAATAGAATGATAAACCAGTGTTTACAGAAAAAATAGTGAGGAAAAGAAGAAATGATCGCATATGATTTGAAAACCATGAAGATTATACGAAGCCAGGGGACGTTAATTTCCTCACTCACCAAAACTTTCAGGTTATTCTATAGACTGTCTAACAGTTTCGGGGCCAGATTGTTATTACCTTAGTTTTGTCATGTAGGGGCATTGGGTATTTGGACTATGGTTTGGTTTCTTTATGGGCTTTAGTTTGATTCAGATATTTAAAAATATGGGGGCTAAGAATCAGATGGATACTTTTAAATTTGCTATCCCTATTCCATAAAATAACATCATTCAATAAATTAGTTTATATCATTTTGGTTTGGTTTGGTTTGGTTTGTTTTTGTTTTTTTATGTAAGTCTCTCAACTGTAACTGAAAAAAAGAGTTAAAAACAAACTTTTAATCAAAGAAAGAAAATATTACTTTTGAAAATTAAGCAAAAAATCAAATATAATTTACCAGGAGGGTGATTGGCACGAGCAATGACCATGAAGGCGATGGAAGCGGCAAGGGCGACGCTCCGGGCGAGCCAGCCTGGCCCGAAGACGGATAATGCTACTACTCCAATCGCAGCACAACCTATTTGAGCCAAAAACATATTGTATTTCTGAAAATTTAAGAAATACAAAAAGACACTCGTCAATTAATTAATTAATTAATACACTGACAAAATTACTAACTTAGCATTTAAAGTTCTTATATTAAAGAGAATAATGATGTGATGGCATCTCTTTCCTATTTTAACATAGTGTGATGCCACAATAGGTCGTGGCTGATTGATTATTTGGTGAAATATACGTTTTCTTTGTTATATTCAACAATCAAAAAGAACATATAGTGGATCTCTTTGCTCCATAGAAAAGTAAAAGCACAAGGACAAATTTTTGAGGATTTTTGTTTTTCACACTTGTTTGTTGATTTACAACTTAATGGAACAATATTTCCTCTAATTAACTACCAATCTCTACGTTTGACTATTTGATTCCTCCCTGTTTGCTTTGTTTGTACACCATTCAAAGCCTAACTAAAAACTTCTTTGGTGTTTGCGTTTTGTATTTCATAGGGGAATAAAAAAAGAATGGAGAAAAATTGAAGGGGTGAAAGGGAATATTACCCGAGCAGCAGGAGCAGAAGGAGTGATGAAAAGAATGGCAGAGACGGCACCAAGTGGTGCAACTGACATCGTTATCCCTTTTGTTGTTAACATTTGATCCATTCTTCCCATTATTGCCATCGCCGCAAACGCTCCTTTTCACACAATCAAGAAGACTAAATTTAACAGACCAATACCTTCCAAGAAAAGAGTTTCTTAATTATTCACGCAAACTAGACTAATTATTAATTGCACTTTTGACAAATGTTATGGTAACATGCATGTGTTTATTAGTCTTGATAGACCAAGAAAAATTATCTTCAGTCAGAATTATCATTCTTTTTTTTGTTACAGATACATATACATACATGGTTGGTAATTTCAGAAAATAACATGTGTTGTATATTTCATCAGCCAATTGTGTAATTTTCCGAGTTTATAGGAATCTATATGCCTAGTTGTGACATAAATTAGTTTAATCTCTATCTAACCTTTCTGTAAAAAAATGGATTTCGACCAAAAAAAAGGACTAATCAAAGTTCAAACCAGAGATGGGTATATAATTCTAGCTGAACACATACGAATATGGTGTCATATTTGTTGAAATGTCAGCTAGAGAAACCTTTTGAATAATAAGACCTTGTCAGCATAGGTTTTGACTAAAAAACACAAACTAAGATCCTCAAGACATAAACATTAGTTTGACTACATTATATCATCATTGTAATAACGAACATAATCGAATACCATATGCCACAATTAAAAGTAATTACTTTAGTTAACGATCACATAATTGTTATTAAAAAATTATCTCACAAAACTACTTTCCGTTTATTCTAGTTTATAAAAAATTATTCCCCCAACAAGTTAAATATATAGGAGTATCAATTTCTTTCTTATGATACTATCTTCACACTTATCTTGAAACCAAACTACCCTAATTACGTTACAAGGTAAATCCGATGAATTGGTCAAACTCAAAAGAAATGTTCATATAAATGACCATTTGGCCGTAGGAAGAGACAGACACACACAATCTCTCTCTCTCTCTATGTCTATCGCTCTCTCGGAATATTTTATCTTTTGGTCAGTCAGGAAATAGTATTGTCCATTAATTTTCTAATTTTAGATTTTTTTTTTATGTGTAACTCCTCTTCTCTCTTCCTTAGTTTTCTTTTTGGTTTCCACCTTTTATACCCTAATCGCCAGTTGTAGTACTTCTGATTTAGAAACAAAAAGTGCTTCATATATAGAAAACAAAGATGGAAAAACATATTAGTAACGACTTATGATCTCAAACAAAAAAAAAAAACAAAAAAAAATGACTAAACAAATGATGATGATCTTTAACTAGCTAGTTATTAGCACATAAACTTTCTAAAGATAATAATCAACTAACCAGCTGCAGGCCAAATGACGTCACTCAGCAATAGAGCCGTCGCCGCCGCCGTCTTATCTGGCTTCCAAGATTCCCAAGACGACGGAGCCGTCAAGTTTCCCGCCGACGCCAGCACCGTGCTTACTCGCCGACGGTGGCTCGAAGACGCTGGATAATTAATTTGGCTCAAGGATTTAAATTCAAAGCATCTACTATAAGTAGAGGTCCCGAGAAAATGCCGGCTCGAGACGGCGGCGAGCATTTTGGGAGATTTCAAAGCCGTCGTAGTCGTAGTGGAGTTCCGGCGGAGAAGATGTGAAGCGGTGAGAGGTAGTGGCTTCACCGGAACCGTAGACATGGTAAAAATGGTAATTTGAGGTGGAGAAATAAAAGATAAGAAGATCGCTCAAAATCTAAATAATTCACAGGAAAGGCTAAAACTTTCTCTGTCTTCTTCACCAATAGGAGATAGACAAGCGATTAGCATATATATATATATATATACACGCACATATGTACATATATATGTCGCGTAGATTAGCATATACTTAAATACCTAATCACATATTCGAGGGTCATTGAAATCGATTTCAATATATAGCTACAATTGTCACGAAGTTACTAATTTTATAACTTGAATAATTTTCTAAAGCTAAATTTTTTAAGTTTGGTTTTGATTAGCTATTAAATAGTTTTAGCTTCTGTTTTTTTTTTTTTTTTTTTTTGCTTTCTTTGCCTATTAATTTTTCTATATCAAGAAAAACCTTTTTTAAATGAGTTAATTGCAATTTGTTGTATAGAAGTAGAACTATTAATAGCTTTAATAACCATGAAAATTTTTTTTGGTCACATGTACAAAATTATAAATGTATTAAAATAAATATTAGACACGTAAAAACTTTGTTATAGTACGTGTGTAGTAGCAAAGTGTATAGGGCAAAAAAGCGTTGGCCTTTTAGGAGGTGGATGGGGGGAGTTTGGAGATGGACGAAGACTCTTCCATTAAACGAAAGGTCATATTCAGAGGAAAACATATAAAGAAATTCAAAATATTATCGAGTCAAATACATTTTTCTTTATCAGAAACTCGGCATTTTCTTCACCAATCTTTCAATGAACAATTATCTTAATCAGGTAAGTTTAATTTAAATTTTTTTTTGAAGATTAACAGAATTTGAATGATATAATTGTTATACAGCAAAAAAAAAAAACTTAAATTTACTGGCGAAACAGTTTTGCTGGTACAATTGGTGATTGGCATATTAGTTTTGTACATTTTTGTATGGAAGATCATTATTCGCATAAACTTTTTTACTTTTGCAAAACAGCAAAATCCCGCAATTTCCACACTCTCGGGTCTCCTCTGCTTCGAATGTTGCAAAATGGAACATTTCGTAACCAAATACCGTAAAATGCACAAGAACAATGCACCTCAACAATCTTACTCCATCTTCAATTCCAATGTACAAACACAACCCTCGATCCAAAATCATATTCATAATGCAAGCAAAAGAAAAAACAACCGGCGCATGCTTAAGATATTCCGGTTAGTTTCAGCCTCGCATAAGCCCTAATTAACAGTAATCAGAATGGGAATCATCGTAGTAATCGATCGCAGAAGACGGCGACATTACTTCTTGCTCAAGCAATTGAACCACCTGGTTCATAGCCGGCCGGTCCTCCGGGTTAGCAGCTGTACACCTGGCAGCTATCTCAATCAATGCCTCAACAGAGTCTTCGTCTACGTCGATACATCTCTTGTCCATTACATCCTCTAATCGATCCTCTTTCAACAAAGTGTTCATCTGAGAGAGAGAACATTTTCTTAGAAACCTAATCTTATATTAAGTACAAACAGAACGGTTCTTGTTCGATAGATGATCTGAGCTTCTTTTTTTTTTCTCTTACCCATCCGACGACGTTTAGACCTCTTTTAACAAATGTCGGGTCTGTTGGTCTTTTTCCGGTAACGAGCTCAAGCAGAAGAACTCCAAAGCTGTAGACATCAGATTTCTCTGTCGCTCTACCATTCTGCAGATACTCTGTTTCAAAGATCCTGCATAAAGTTAGCAGCTTTTCCAAGATTCTTAAGAAAGATAGGAACTTTAGTAGTTTCTAATCTATGATTCATCGAACATAGCACAGAGACCAGGACCTGGAGCAAGATAGCCAAAGGTGCCAGCTACCACGGTGGTAACATGAGCATCTTCGTCAACAAGAAGCTTTGCGAGACCAAAGTCCGAGACTCGAGGTTCTAGTTTATCATTGAGTAGAATGTTGCTTGATTTTATGTCACGGTGAACTATTTTGGGACTACAGTCATGGTGCAAATACGCTAGACCCCTCGCAGAACCTAGCGCTACTCTCAAACGCGCGTTCCAATTCAACAAACCGTCTTCTTGAGCTCGTTCTTATGAGGTAAAGAAACAAGATAAGATCAATATGCATCACAGACCGAATCAAAGAAGAGATATGTATGTATCAAGTGCATTTACCATGGAGAAGATCGTCTAAGCTGCCCACAGTTAAATAATCATAGATGAGAAGTCTTGAAGTCGGTAAGCGGCAGTATCCGCGTAGGTTCACTAGATTGATGTGTTTGACACTTCCCAAAATCTCTACCTCTCGCTCGAAAACTCGGTCTGATCCTTCTCGGCTCCTATCTATCTTCTTGACAGCAAAAGTTCCAAGATCGTTCATCACCATTCGATAAACCGTGCCAAATCCTCCCGAACCCACAATGTCTTCTTCGTCTAGAGACTCCAGCTTCTCGATTAGCTCAGTCGAGGAGTATGGAAGATCTCCATGGAAAGTAATAAGCTTTTTACCTTTTTTTTCAAAAATGGAGAAATCCAATTTAGAAAGAAAAAATTAACTAAGAAGCAAGAGAAGAAAACAGAAAGCTAGTTTTTTTTTTTTCTGTTATGCGGGGTTTACTCGTTTCAGATGGTTCTTTTTGTTTATTGACTTCTGTGTACTTCTTCACTGTTCTTTCCTTCTTTGAGAGCATCCAAACCCATAGGAACACAAAGATCACAATGAATGCAAGAGCCATTGTAGACATTGCTCCTATCAAAATTCCTTTAATCAAGCGGGAAGATCGTTTTGGAGGATCTGCGTGGATTTCAAAAAAGAGAAATCAAGAATCAGAAAGTTTAAGCCAAAGGAAGAAGCCTCACGTAGTGGTGAGAGGGTTTAATAAGAACATCTTGCCTGATTCATCATCACTTTCTGCATGAGGAAGAACAACAGGGAAACCCATTGTTGATCTACATGGCTTGTGAATTTGGCGTCCGCAAAGATCCAAATTACCGGTGAATCTAAACCATAAAGACACAAAACCACAATGAGGATTAACATCATAGTCTAACACTACCACTAAAGTTTTTTGAAATTTTTTTGATGAATTTATTCTTCTATTAAACTGTTGAGAACTCACGATTCAGCCCCGAATCTGCTGAGAACTCCGATATCTGGGATCTCTCCAGAGAAAAAGTTGGTCGACATATTCCTGAATCAAACAGAAAGTTCAAGAACAAACACATCAACGAGACCAATCTTCCACAGAATACATCTAAAAGGCGAGATTTTGTGTGTGCTTACAAGGAGCGTAAACGTGTCAGTCGACTAATTGAAGGAGGAATAGCACCCTTCAATGTATTGCTTGATAGATCCCTGAAAATATCTCCAACTTAAGTATTCAAACATCACAAACTCTTCGAAATGAAAAAAGAAATCAAAAAGCTGAGAAAGTAGAATCTTACAATATAGTAAGAAACGTGAGATTGCCGATATTTGGTGGAATGCCGCCTTGAAGATAATTAGCCCTCAAATACCTGAAAACATGTTCAAGCACATACACCAATGTTCATGGCTCAACACTCCTAAAGATTTGATATTTCCAATTGCTTGATTGCAAAAATTTTTTAAGAGACCACTGTGTAATAATATATTAATGGTTAAAAATAATCTTACATAGCTCTGAGCTCAGTGCAATTGGTGATTTCATTAGGAATTGTCCCGTGTAAGCTGTTCTGATGAAGTGCCCTGCATAGCTCCCACCAATTTTGAATTGAAACAAACTAACTTAAAAGATACCAAATTTAGCATATGAACACTAATATACAAAGATTAATCACTCACAGTCTCTGCAATCTACTAAGTTTTCCAATGCTAGGAGATATTATCCCTCCTAGTTGCATGTAAGGTAAGTTTCTGAATAATCCACAAAAAGAGGAAATACACAATTCAGATAAAGAAAGAAGCTGAAGATTGAGAATGTGATGAAGAAGAGGACAAGTAGCATTTTATTACATAGAAACGACTCTTTGGTCTTGAGGATGACAGGAGACGCCAGTCCAGGAACAAGGAGACTCGTCTGAATCTCTCCAGTTCTCAAGGGAGTTCCTCGTATCATTCAATCCGCTTTTCAGCTCCAACAGAGCAAGCCCTACAAGATCAAAGCTCCAAATTAGGAAGAACTGTTAGAAATTTCTCAGCAAGAACTACCTGAGCTAGTGTTTTATTACACTGAGAATGAACAAGAATAGGCGAAAAGTTGATCAAATCTCAGATTTCTGACCAACCAAAAAGCAAAAACTTATATACTAACCATCGAGAGTGAGAGCAAAAGAGCAAGAAACGAAGAGGATAGCTACAGAAAGTACTGAGAAAACCCAATTCGAGATACCCATTTCTCTGATTCTAGGCGATTTCAACTTCGATACGAAAGAAAGATGAGATTTTTATCCCAAAACGAGTGCCCTAACTCGGAGATGGAGAGAGATTAGTGATTGGGTGTGAGGAGGACTCATGATGAAAAATCTTACTTTTGTTTTTCCTTAAAAGAATTCTTTAATTTTTTTATATCTTATTTATTTTTCCCTCTTCTTTTCGAGCTATGTGAAAGGAGAGATTTTTGAAAATCTGTACTCTTGAGGAGATGTGGAAAGAAGAGAGAGAGACGAGAGACGACACCCGTTGGGAGCAGATATAATTCAAAATTATCTGTGCCTAAGAAAAACAATAAAAAACCCGCGCGAGTACGGGTTGTAAACATACTCGCTACTGTTTTTGGTCTGCAATGAGTCAATGAAAGCGATTAGTTTATAAGATTGTACTTGAGACGCGAGTGTGAGCGAGTAAAAAAAACATCTGAAACTCTGTCGTTTTGTATTTACTTTGTCTCAGATATCTACTGCATTGAAAAACAAATAAGTGTAGTCTGACCAACTCCACCAAGTATTACCTCAGTATTATCCAGTATTATTAAGTATTATCGAATATTACAGTATTATCCAGTATTACCTAGTAGTATTATCGAGTATTACATAGTAGTATTACCGAGTATTACCTAATATTACCGAGTAGTATTACCGAGTATTACCTAGTATTACCGAGTATTGCCTAGTATTACTGAGTAGTATTACCCAATATTACCTAGTATTACCAAATAGTATTACCAAGTATTACCCAATATTATCCAGTATTACTGAGTATTACCCAATATTACTGAGTATTACCCAATATTACCAAATATTAATTAACACCAGATAATTAACCGGGGATTTGTCTTATTGACCGATGATTATACCAAAAAGGGGAACATTCAAGTTGTTTTGGCCGTTTAATAAGGCAATTAATTTTTAAAACAATGGTATTATTTCGGTCTTTGGATTAGGAAAAAAGCTTAAAAAAAAATTCAAACCACAAATTTAAGTAAAAAAGTAAACAAACAACAAACCATAAGTCGAGATCATCTAGAGTTGTCTTATACAAGCAAAAAAATCTGCAAGTGGAAGTTGAGGTTTTTTTCTTTTTTTTTTTCTTAAACGAAAACTAATAGCATAATAACTAAGCTGGTTTAAGGTGTTTCTGACTAAATCACTCTCAGTACTCTTCTCCTGTTGGTATTCTCTTTCCTCCTCATCCTCGTACTCACCTTCCTCATCTGCAGTTGCATCTTAGTATTGCTGGTACTCTGAAACTAGATCATTCATGTTGCTCTCCGCTTCTGTGAACTCCATCTCGTCCATTCCCTCACATGTGTACCAATGCAAGAAAGCATTCCTCCTGAACATAGCCGTGAACTGTTCACTCACCCTCCTGAACATCTCTTGGATCGATGTCGAGTTGCCGATGAAAGTGGAAGCCATCTTCAGACCAGTAGGTGGGATGTCACAGACTGTTGACTTCACGTTGTTTGGAATCCACTCCACAAAGTAGGATGAGTTCTTGTTCTGCACGTTCAGCATCTGCTCGTCCACTTCCTTTGTGCTCATCTTTCCACGGAACATGGCAGAGGCTGTCAGGTAGCGCCCGTGTCTTGGGTCTGCGGCACACATCATGTTCTTGGAGTCCCACATCTGCTGGGTGAGTTCAGGGACTGTGAGGGATCGGTACTGCTGAGACCCTCTTGAGGTGAGTGGAGCAAAACCCACCATGAAGAAGTGAAGACGTGGAAATGGGATCAGATTCACAGCAAGCTTGCGAAGGTCGGAATTGAGCTGACCAGGGAACCTCAGACAGCAAGTCACACCAGACATAGTGGCAGATATCAAATGGTTCAAATCACCAACTGCACACAGAGAATACACCAAGTATGTGGGTCACATACAAGAAACTACATAAGCATAACAACAAAGCTTACAAATATTACTATATTAGTTCAGATCACCAAATGCAGACAGAGAATAAACGAGTAAAAAGTGTCTACCCATAGCCAAACAACATGAAGAACAGTAGCACAGTGAAAAAATCTTGCACACATTACTATATTATAAAGCAGACAGTACACTCTCACAATCATAAGCTAGTAAATAAACACTGATGCATTCTACGTTACAAGAAGTAGCAGATAGTTATATGACAATTATCAGGAAGTAATTTTCCAACAAGATTAAGGATTTATTGTGGTGATGATCTCATCATAGATAAACAGAACAATATACACAACCAATATCACACACTTAGGATACACATGGACCAAAACAGACCACTGAAAATAGTAAGAAAACAACTAAGTTATATACAGAGAGCATCAATCGGGTGAGAACTTGCAGATTATAACTATGACACAAAACAATGACATATTCACTACCCAGGCAAAGCATTATAAGCATAGAACAAAATACTAATCTAAACATTTGCGAAAAGTAAAATTGGATAACGAATCTTACAGTTGGGGGTTGTGAGTTTGAGAGTCCTGAAGCAAATATCGTACAAGGCCTCGTTGTCGAGAACCATGCACTCATCTGCATTCTCAACAAGCTGATGAACAGACAAGGTAGCGTTGTAAGGCTCAACGACTGTATCAGAAACCTTCGGAGAAGGAAACACTGAGAATGTAAGCATCATCCGATCTGGGTACTCTTCACGGATGTTGGAAATCAAGAGCGTTCCCATACCAGATCCAGTTCCTCCTCCCAAGGAATGACAAACCTGAAACCCTGTAAAGCAAAATCTCACAAGTTCAAACTCAAGTTAAGCATAAACTAACACTAAAATCGACTGGATCTCGAAAATGAATTTTACCTTGAAGGCAGTCACAGTTCTCGGCCTCCTTGCGAACAACATCGAGGACGGAATCGATTAGTTCAGCTCCTTCAGTGTAATGCCCCTTGGCCCAGTTATTTCTAGCACCAGATTGGCCGAAGACGAAGTTATCAGGACGGAAGGTCTGACCATACGGTCCAGATCTGAGACTGTCCATGGTTCCGGGCTCCAAATCCATGAGCACAGCACGCGGGACGAATCTTCCACAACTAGCTTCATTGTAGTAAACGTTGATGCGCTCGAGTTGCAGATCTGAGTCTCTGATGTACCTTCCGGTTGGATCTATGCCGTGCTCGGCGCAAATGACTTCCCAAACTTGGCACCGATCTGGTTACCACATTGACCTCCCTGGATGTGAAGAATCTCACGCATCTTCGATGGAGAGGGTGAACAGAGACGAGATTTAGAGCTTTTCGAGGTTTTGAAATCGAATCTGGAGAAGTAGGGTTTTCTGAAATGAGGAAACAAAAAAAAAAAGAGTGAATGAGTTTTTATTATTGCTCTGTGTTCTTTTTTTCCCTTATTATTTCTCTAAATATCTGACGCACCGATTTATTTGTTTTCGAAATTTAAAATTTGAAATAATGTGTTTCTTTCTCTTGTGAATTTTTTAATTTGGTTTTTTTTTGTCAGGATACTGAAACATACAAATCACAAGAAGAAAAAATGTTTTTTTGGGTTTGTTTACAGAAATAATTTCGAATTCTGTGACTATAATTTTACACAATTTGGGCCGATTCATTAAAGATTTTTGAGCCCGATCTCAGGACGATTACTAAACATTGTTGTTTATGGACGATTACTTGTCAAGAAGTAAAAAACGCTAAAAGTCGATTATTTTCTTGCTAAGCATTCGCCAATTATAATTTTATCTATAAATAAAGATATCCGGACAAGCATCACAATGATCACATGGAGCGCTTTCAATATCCTGTAAAATATAGTTGGGGTTTGTTTTGTTGCTTTTGGAAGATGTTTGAGTTATGTATCCCCAAAAAATAGGAGTTTGGGTTTCCAAAATTTGGACTCACTGATACAAAAGCCCAGTTTATATTAGTGCTCCAACCAAAAAACTAATTGGTTAAAATGATAGCAATGAGAATCAGATCATGCAGCCGAATCAGTTTATTCGGTTTAGAAGATCGAGGTACTGAACAAAGTGGGAAATAATTCGGTTAGATTCGTAGTTGCTTTTATAATAAGAATATTGGACTCAAACTGATCATGTAAACTATATTGTTACTATGTAATATTCGATTTCAATTTTTTTTTTGGTTCAGTTTCAGATTCATCCAGTTTACTTTATAATTTTTTTAGAGCAATTTTCAATGTACAACAAAGTTGCTCTAACCATTTACTATGTAATTTATGCCATTTTCGTTTTTACACAAACAAAATCATTGAATTAAACTTGAAACATTTTGCTATATTAGTATTACTTAGAAGCAGCAGATTAACATATTCTACCAAATGGTATATAGAGTTCATTAATTTGCTTTACCAGTTCTTTTATTTTGAATCATTTCAATTATTGCGAGAGACGAATGAACTTATTAGTCGTACCAAAACTTTAGAAATCCGTATATACGTAAACATCTAGAAAACACAAAAAAGAACAAAACTTGGACTATAGTTTTGATTTGACATCAATTATTCTTTTTTTAATATTATCAATAAAATTCCTCACCCGGAAATAATGGGTTCAGAATTTACCATACTTATTCGTAATCCTCTCTTTTTCTTTTTTGTTTATTTTATTCTTCAGAAAAATCTTGGAATCTAAACTAATGAAACGCATTGCATAGGGATTTTGTTTATAATTCGTCACGATGACTTTCTTCGCCAAATGATTTTGACTGGACCTAGCTGGTGCTGCTACTACCACTACTACTCCTCCTTTAGTCGTTGTGTCTATCTTAATATATATTCGTTATTATCCGTCTTCAAAAATATTTGATTACTATGGGTGTTATTCAATCATGGTTTTTAATAGAGTTTAAATTCATCTATAATCCATTGTTATTCAATAATTGATTTTGATTTCTCCTTCAAAATCCAATGTTATTGATTCATGTATTTACAATCTTTTCATTAATAGAGTTTGAAATCCATTGTTATTCAATTAAAGAGTTGAATAAGTCAATTAAAATCTTATGTTATTCATGTTTAACAGATTCTGACAACTGATTTTAAGTGAAAGATTTTAACTGAATTTGAACATATTTTTATGTGTTAAATATAGCAATCAAAATCTAACCTTTTACCCTCAGATTTTGATAATTATAAAATTCAACACAAATAACTATTAACATTTGTTTTTTTCTTTTTTCCCTCCATATATTAATCCATCGAATACATCATTTTTCATCCCTCCAATTTTTTTTCTTTTCCCTCCATTTTGTTTTTTCATTCTTCATACGTCTTCCTTTTCCCTAGTCCATTTCTCTCACCCTTCTCTCTTTCCATAAGTCAACAAACCATTTATTATTTATTATGAAAACTCAATTTTTCACTATTCTCTCTTTTCTTTAGCACATATTTATCTCTCTTCTCTTTCTCCATAAGTCATCAAAAAAAAAGTAATATCTTTCTGGATTAGCAATTGTTCTGATTTTTGTTTTGATTATTTAATTTCTTTGTCATGTTTATAGAGACTAGTGATATTTTTTACTTCGACGAAATTTTTTGAGAATTCTTTTCTATTAGATTTTAAATGATAACATGTGACTTTCTAAATACACTGCTAAGTAATTTAAAATTTTAAATAACTCATATACTTTAGATTCTAAATGAATTAAAAAATTTCAAATCTGATCTATTCTAATCTAGTGGAGTTGATTTCAACATACAGATTGAATAACACCCCCTATATGTTTACTATTTCTGGTTCTTTGTTCCTACACTTTGCGTTAATCTAAAGTTATTGATAATATGTTAACAACAACGACATGCAATATAGTATTCCATTTCTTGTACAAGTTGAAGTATTTTACTCTTTTATCCATTACTTGTACAAGTTGAAGTATTTAGTCTTTTACGTCAGAGAAACTCAAAATTTATTTTTTTCAATTTATTTTTGTTGAAATTCAATGTACACCTTTTAAATTTAAAATTATTGGACCGAGTTTTAGAAAATCATGGTTTTAATATCAGACAGTGTATATATAAACGAAAAGTTGTAACATAGTTTGTAGTGTTAATTATGAGAATTATATAATTGGTGTAAAAATTAGAGAAAGAGGCATAAAAATTGCGTGGGTTTTCAGTTCATCGAGTAATTTTATGTTATCATTATCAATTCATCAGCAATACTTTTTGTCTTTAATTGATAAGTATCAATGTATCATGTAGTTACTAAGAATAATTCAAATCATATAAGGTCATAGTGTAAGAATCTTGAACATAAAGAAGAGATAATAGTTTGTTGACGTTCAAATGCAGTAAGCTCAACTAACAATTTGGAATAGTTTTGATGTTTGAGGATCTTCCAGAAATAAAACTAATAGATGTCATTTTACAAAATTAAAAGGTGTGATTTCTAAATATTAGTATGTCTTAAAATTATGGCGCAATCAATGATGCATGTAAAGAAAAATGATTTGACAAGATATGCTATTAAGTTATTTTTCTTCATGAACTTCGTTGAAGAAATTTATCACAAAAATATATTTGCATTGTCAAAAGAAAAAACTCAGAATTAATAATTTAAAAATACATTATTTCATTCTACGTGTAATATAATGACAAAATACCTTTTTATTAATGGATTATATACTATGTGACAACAAACTGGTCTTCAGGCAAAACAGCAAACATTTTGGTTGACAAAACAACGAGCACATAATCAACTGGAACAAATATAAAGGTATAGAATAAAGAAACAAAATTAGAAAAACGAGTTTAAAAACCAAAATATAATACGCTCGTTTGATCACTGCGTTTGATGCCATTGTTCAAACTCATTTTGAACCTTTGAAAGTGCTTACACGTGAGAGATATACGCATTTCTAAAATGTCTATATTGCTTTCATAGTGATTAAACAAATTATACTTTTGCGTAATCAATTTGATTGATAATTCCTTTAAGAATTTTTTCTTCAAACTGGACCAATGAAGACAACGAAGCATAGGGCATAGGGGTTTTGGACCATTTTTTTTTTGTGTTAATGGAGTAGGCACTATACAATACCATAATTAATTATAACTCGACATGTGGATTCATCTTTATAGAACATAAATAAGATAAGTGAAATCAATATCCCTGTGGTCATTGATTTGTCAGAAGGCCAATATATGAGAAAGAATCAGAACATTGTGGGAAAACGAAAATATTAGCGTGATAACTTATTTTATTCTGTTAATTGAAAGGGAATAGAAAATTTAAAACGAGCTTTTCGGCTGTCAAAAAGAATTCAAGATACTGAAACCACTAAAAGTGAAAGATGAAGTGATTCCATTTAAGATTGAAGGGAAACAGATATCATCCATCACTTCAGGAATCAAGAACATGTTCGTTTGGTTTATTTTTTGTTCTAAAACCAGGGCACTTGCTAACGGGAATCAGCAATAATAATCTTAATGATATTAATAATTCAATGATTTTCCTTGTTGTTCAAAAAAATATTTTTCGAATGGAAGATGTGTTACGAGCGCATCCATTGTACGTGTGGTCAACAGTCACTGGCATTAGAAACAAAAATAAAACAGTCACTGGCCCAATACCACGCTTATCGCTAAAATATGCCGTGGTTGAGATAACAATGAGCATAACTAGGTTTTAAATATCACAAAATTACGAATCTTATCAGCGCGAAATTTTAACTTTTTAAGATGGGATCTACAATGTCATTGTTAGTTTTATTCAATAAGAGTTTTTTTAATTTCAATTACGCTTCCTGAGATAATCATGTTTTGATATCTCACTTGCTTTCAAATATACTCGTCCATAGTTATAACGACGTCGCAAAATAACATACTTATAACTTGTTCTCGAATCAACTTAATAATTCCATCAACAGATATGTGAATGTACAGTACGTGTTTTTTTCCATTAAAAAAAAACAATGTACAGTGTGAGAAGTAAATAAATGGTTAAAAGATTATTAATTCGAGCAAAGGAACCCATGGAAGGATAGTGGATGTTGTATTATTGATATG